ATATATATATATATATATATATGCCTGTACTAATGTAAAAGTTCACATTTTAATTGCTATATGTTGAATAAATTAAAAAGTGTTTGAATTCCTATTACTGAATTTTTACATCAGAATTTCATGAATACACATGAATAAAGTACATAAATACATTTTTTTACAATGAAATCCTGTAAAGTGATACTAATGCAATTTACTGTCAAAACAATTACAGTAATATGTTGTGAAATTCTAAGATTTTTTTTGCAGCGTATCAATAAATGTGTGTAAAGCCACTGAATATATTGTTTCTTTAATTGGAACAAAGTGCTGTCATGCTTCTCTTGATCATAGTGGATATTCCTCAAATTACAACAGTCAGAGCCCTTCTGCTGTTTGACTTGATGATAAATGTCCAATATCATAGACAGTAGGCTTTAAATTAGGTGTACTGCTCACACACAAACACGCACACACAACCTGACATGTGATGTTCATTTTAATGGATTCAGGGTCAGAAAGGGTTTAAATACAAAATACCACTGTGACTAAATAAATTTAAAATCATTTTATTTCACTCCTGTGGCATTTTTAATATTGGAGAATGTTATTCTGTATTACATTATTTGTCGGTGCTTATTGCAGATCCTAGGCCTTATTTACTCATTCATGTATGTTTATTTCATTTTAAAATGTTAAAATTTAAGCAGTCCTGCATCATAGTTTGCAGGGGTTGGGCAATGAAACTGAAATGAACCTCCAAAACACAAAAATGGCTCAATAATGCTGGTGCCAAAATGGTTGTCACCGACTCGGTATCAGTCATTCCCCTCGCTGGCCAGTAGAGGTTATCATCACCGGACTTCTAAACATTACGTCATCCACTTACACTGACAGCATGCACACCTGCAGCTCATTCAGTTGATGACCCACGCTCACACATATAAGCAGCACACACCTCAGTTCATGGCGAAGTCTTGTTCTGCCCTGGCTAGCACTACTGAGCATTTCTCATTCTTGCCTGCTTCCCCGTTGTTACCTTGCTTTTATTATTGACCTTGTCCTGCCTGCCGCCTGCCTTGTACCTTTGCCTGAATCCCGACTCTGATCCTCGCCGCCTGCCTTGAACTCTAGCCTGCACACCGACTTTGATATTAGCCGCCTGCCTCTGACCCATATCTGCATACTCACTCTGAGTTTACCTGCCGCCAGCCCTATGACCATATACTACTGTGTTTGATGTGAGTTCGCACGCGCATTACATCTGTGTGCTATTTGTTATTAAACTGTTTAATAAAAATACTGCAAATGGATCACTCTGTGTCAGTCACTTCGTTACAATGGTGCCTGAACTGATACTTTTTAGCCATTTTACGCCGTTTTTCTGGGTTTGGGGCTTGTGACTACTTTTACATGACATCACTGATCTAATGATTTGCCTTAATCTTAATGAGACAATAATATGATTCAGGTGTTCACATGAGTTGCTTTTTGAATATTACATTCACGATTCCCAGTAACATGTTAAAGCACAGATCCATTAACATCATTGCGTCACCAGCCTATAAATGTTTCCTTCGCAGTTTGTGTCTGTGGTCCTTTAAGGTAAGCAAAAATCACTGTTTACGTGGGAGACTCTTGATCAGAGTATTGTCGTAATCATGTTAAAATCAAAGTATTGGCGTCCATGTGAACATTCTCGCTGAAATATCACAAGCTGTCAAAGACAGTCCATTCCTCACATTTCATAAGTGACATGTTTCCCATACTGTACTGTACTGTAGAATGCTTAGTTTAAGCAAATTAGATTAATGCAATTATGCGTGTTGATGAAGTGACTATAAGCAACAACAACAAACACCTGACATCGCTGACGGTGTCCATATCCCTCAAATCTGTTTAAACATTTTGAGATGGTGTGCCACAAGGCATGTTATTTAAAATGAAACTATTAAGATGGCGCTTTGTGGCGCGGTAGAAATATGAACAGTGTTGAGTCGTGGCTGGGTGTTTAAAATGTTTAAACAGATTTGAGGGATATGGACATCGTCAGCGATGTCAGGTGTTTGTTGTTGTTGCTTATAGAAGGCAAAGTGTGCAGTAGGGTGCATGCGGCGAGTGACTCACTTCATCAACACGCATAATTGCATTCATCTAATTTGCTTAAACTAAGCATTCTACAGTATGGCTATATTTTACAAGCAAGGATTCTGACATCCACTGACTGAATTCTAGATTGCATGGTGCTGCGCAACGTCGAGTGGCGCTTGTGGTGGGTGACCTGCTTTACGTTCTTGTGGCAGAACCACTGGCACATTAAGCAGCGAAATTCATATGCTGACTTGGCCCGGTACCCAACCCAAGTAAGCACCTGGACATCCCTTTCAGACAGCTTCCTCTTACGTCCACAGTTACTCCTGTAAGATGTGGTTCTTCTTCTTGGTGTTATGCTGACATTAGCCTGGATACCATGGCTCTTGATACATCACAAAGACTTGCTGTCTTGGTCACAGATGCGCCAGGAAGACATTCTCCACCTTCTTTTGAACTCTGATACGTCACCCATAACTTCATTTGCTTTGCAATATGTCAAGTAAAACTATGTCATTTGTCTGCTAATTAAACCTTCCCACACTGCTCTTGATGGTGGAATGTGCAATCAATAAAGATTTGCCACCAGACTGGTCAAATTCAGCCATGAAACCTCCAACACTAATTTGCCCATTGTTTCAGTATCATTGTCCAACCTCTGTATATTGTCATAATGCCCACTCCAACTCATTTCTGTTGATGACCATAAAAATTAATTGCTTAAAATTGTTTATTTAGGTTTTGACCAAATCAATAGTCATATTTATGATAATAAATATGTTATTAGCTATTAATGTTAGCAAGCTAGTGCCATACAGGAATCATGCAGGAATAGTTCACTCAAAAACGAAAATGTTTCATTCATTCGTTTTCCTTCAGCTTAGTCCCTCGATTATTAGGGGTCGTCACAGTGGAATGAACCTCCAAGTCACATGACTGTAGCCACTGACTGGATGTTTTATTTATTTTTTTGTGACACACATAACATGCCTATATAAGATGCAACAAAATCATACTCAAGAGAGCGTTTAGTGAGTAAGAACAATACTTTATTTGTGGTCTTGGAGAAAAAGACTACATTCCCCTGCATTACTTTGGCTAGGTGCAGTGTGGGTAACACTGATGCATTAGGGCATTTGTACATCAAAAAAAACAAAAAACAAAAAAAAATAAACAAGAGAGTCACAACACAAAATGTTCATAGTCATCCACATGTGGAAGTGCAGAAAAGTAAGGACTACATTACCCATAATCCATATGAAAAAAGTATATTGTCACTGATGGAAAAAAAACAGGCGGCAAATTACTGGGCAGAAAAAAGGCAGTTCGCTCAAACACCTACATGCACGAAAAAAGAGAAAGACGGAGCAAACAGTATTAGGATGGTCTTTATAATGCTAGTGTACAGGAAAAGAAATCCATTTTGGGGATCCGTTTTATTTCCATTGATTGATCTGCAGTCATGACACACTTCTTCTAACCGATGCTGAAGATGAACGCGATAACAAACAGAACAAAATCTCCACGGCCAAAAGGAGACACATTAGTCTTTAAAGGAACATTGAAAGTATCAAGGAAACGAAACAAGAAAAATAATTCATTTATAGTAAGAACAACAATCAGATCAATAATAATTCATAATAAGTGAAGTTACTTTAATGGTCATTAAGGAAAGAAACAGACAGACAAAAGAAATGAGGAACCACAAAACTAACAGATTTCGTACTGACACCAGTAATCAGGTTGTAAAAATTCAATATTGTTCAAATAAAAGTAAAAGCGCTTCAATGTCTTTGCATATACAGGTGCGAAACCAGCAATAGCACAAATGTCTCAATGTCAGCCTGTTCTGAAATGTGCATCCAATAGCTTTTCATACAATCAGATGAGAGTCACGTCCCAAATATATATATTCAATCCGTCGAGGCTCAAATTGTGTTTTTGCACAGCAAGAACAGCCTCTGAAAGTTCACTCTTAAGATCTGCATGTTGTGGATGTGTGCTGCTGCTGCTGCTGAAAAGCGTTTTTAGTATTCAACCATGAGTCAGATTCCTATAAAAAGAGGAGTACACGGTAGACAGGAGATAGCAACTTGAGGAAGAGAGAAATAAAATGCAACCGAGTTCACCGTTTAAGAAAAATCAAGACAAAAATGCCGATAAAATGTGATACTTAATGCAAGTCTTTCTTCACCATCTTCCTAAACCATCATTACACGTTCAGTTTTGCGTTGAGAATGGCAAATAAATATCAGCAGTAAATAGGGGTGTGTGATATTTATTTATTCATATAATAATTAAACAATATCACCCATTAGTTTATTTTTGTAATGGTGCTTCTGCTTGTTTAAGCCTGTTGAGGATAATTGCGACACTAAAACCATCTGTAGGTGCACTGGAAATAATCCTGGCTGCCTTCAATTTTTAAGCTGAATCAATTTAACCATATGAGTTCATTGAACTATATTAAACTAACTTAAAACAGTTTGTGTATCATGTAAATATACAGTGCTCAGCAAATATAAGTGCATCCCTTAGAAATCTTTCTTTTAAATGCATATTTTTAATATTACATTTGTGCAAATACATTAGATTTGTCAGTACTGAAGCCAAATCTGGACTAGATCTAATAAAATAATGTATGATAACGGTCCAAAAACTAGAACACTCAAATTTATATGTTGTAGAAAAATGTTAAATACAAATTTAAAGAAGAGGGTAAAAAGAAATCAAGAGAAGCAAAAAAAAAAAAATTTTGTAGGAATATTTTGTAGGAATTTTGCAATATTTTGCATGAATTTAATTGTATTATATTTCCATTTCTGAATACATTTTGGTGACTAAAATACTATTTAAATAAATATCTGTTTAATAAATCTATTTTTGTTTAAATGCACCAAAATACATAGCCTATATTCACTGAAAAATAAATAAAAATATTCATTTTCAAAATGGGGTGTACTTAATTATGCTGAGCACTGTAAGTTAGACGATGATTAACTTAGTTTAATAAGTAACAAGGACCTAAAAACAAATGTAGTTAGAACTAATTAACCACACAGTGTGATGAAAAGTGCATTGAGGGACTGATTCAATTGTTAATTCAATTGATTTGTTCAAAAGGCTGATTCATTTGGAAACATTGGCTCAGATGATTTGTTCAAAAACTGATTCATTTAGGAATTAAAATTTGCAAGATTTTTGCCCACAAAGTAGTCAAATAGAAGTCTGTGTGTCTAAAATGAAGCTTAATATAATCATATTTCTTGTTAAAGTATTTTATAATATAAAGTCTTGCTTGTGTCATATCGTATTCGTAACCTGAGGCTCTTTCTTCTCTTTGGACTCCTGCATTACCGATAATGTCATCTCTCAAGCAATTAAAAAAACTGCCCAAGTATGGTAAATGATAAACATCACACACCCCTAAGCAGTGAACTGATGAACTGCTTTCCCCCCAAATCATGTCCCATCATCAATGTTTGTTCACCTTTACCAAAATATTAGGAACAAGTTTATCACAAGTGCTTTCGAATAAATCTATATTAACATTTCTATACAAATTTAAATGTATATCTTATTCTCAGTATTTTACAGTTTAAGTTCTCTAGAAAGATCTTTTCTAAATCTCTAAAAGGTTAAAATTCTGCTGCTCGCTCTTCTCCTTCACGACAATAAAAAGTCTTCAACTGCGAAAGCCCCAAGTATACTTTGTTTTGTATGCATACGTTAGCATGTAGCACAGTCAATCGTTCAGAGTATAATCCACTTGAGCACTAGCACAGAGGTTCTACATACGGCACACTAAACGGAGTCATTGTCAACTACTGTCTGCATCTTTTCTCTCTACGAGCGATAAAAACACCTCACACGTAGAGTCTATCGTTTTTTACAGTGGCTGGTTCAGTGTTGACGCCTTGTGGAAAATTTTACAAAAACGCTCCAAAAGCATGTGCTAGCGACACGTACATTGTATGCGTGCTTACAAAAATTGAGCGTCGTGTGTACAGTACACCGTCCTGAATGATGACAAAATTTGTGTTACTGTACAAAGACCCGTGCGTACGTGTAAAAACTCAAGTATACTTTGGGATTAAGCGTTGATTGCTTCAAAAATACCACATAAATCTGATTTTATATTACAGTGATACCTCGACCCGTTCCATCAGTACTTTACAGCCCTCACGAAGATATAGAAAATATACAAAAAATTAATTTCAAAAATTTCCTTTTCCCGTTCTATCATATAAAAATATACAATTCTCTCCATAATTAAAATCTTACCATTGTACCTTACTGGAAATAAAGAAAGAAAAAGAAAAACTATTAAGAGAGGTGACATGCTCTCTCTCTCTCTCTCTCTCTCTCTCCAGTTTACAACTTGAGCTTGTGCGGTCTTCATACATCTTTCAATATAATCGATGCACTTTCCTCTGTCTCTTAGCTTGTGTCTATCACAGGACATTCATTGCGTTCTCCATCCATCATCGCATTTATCACATGTTCCTCCTCTCCATTTACTGATCCAGATGGTGGCTCTCGTATTTGTTGAGGATGTTACGGCAGCGGCCGAGCTCTTTGCGCATATCGGCCACCTCCTGTCTGAGAGCAGCGTTTTCACGCTCCAGGAACGCGGCCCTCACTGAGATCTGGTTCTCCTTCAGCCGGCGAGCGTCGCGAGAGCGTTTTGCTGCCTCATTGTTCTTACAACGCCGACTCCAGTACTTCTCATCCTGGAAAGAAAAATAAAAGATCTATTTGAGAGCTGACATTACAGTGAGAAACATCTTTGAAGCACAGGGTTTCAGCAAATTTAAGACTTTTAGACTGACATTCAGACGTTTACAGGCCAAAATGCCAAAGAATTATTGTAATGGCCAGCGGATTTTTTTTACTTGCCCCATTAAAACTGAAATTTTGTTATTACTTACCCACATATTTTAAATATCGAGTCAAAAGATAGTTAGAAATATTTAATATACATTCATAAATCAATTTTAGTTTCAAAAACTGTTTAACGTGAACATTTGCTCATACTGTATATACTTTTATTACTTTACAATAATTAATATACAACAAACTAAATTTATTTACAACAAAGTTTTATGCATAAATACACGGATAACTTTAAAAGAAGTGTTACTGTAAGGATGTGAGAAAGATTATTAAACCATAATGGCAAATAGAGCTTATCAATTTAACTTTTTTTAATTGTGTTTGTTTTTTTAGATACAGTAGATTGTTGGTTGTAGCAAGTAGGAAACTTTACATGGACAAAGGAAAATTAAGACCTGTTTAAAAGTATTTAGGACACACAATGTCATATTTCAGTGACTTTTTAAGAACTAAATTTTAGTTTTGGAAAATTTAAGACATTAAGGCTTTAAGACCCCGCAGACACATTGAAGCAGGAGATAGCATGTGGTTTGACTACACATGGATCTGCTGTTTTCTCTGAATGTCCTCAAAGTGCCAGACACAGGCCTGTGGTTCACACCACTGCAGTGACCAACAGTTAAAGTTAGTGGTCATGAGAAAACCAGATACAAGTCTCAAAACACTATATGCATTCTCATAAATCAGGCAGTTCCCATAATGTCATGCACTTCTTTCAGATTTCCAAATCCAACTTATTATTCCGTTATTATTATTATTCTGTTACACTATTACTTAGTTATACATTCAAGTTTTAAAAACCCTTAATATTTTAAAGGTATGGATTAATGGTTAATACTTCGATCATTTGCATATTCATAGTTCTCTAAAGTTGGTTAGTGTTCACATTACAAGAAAGTAAACTCCTTTTTCTGTGTGCATTTTAATTATGAATATTAAAAAGTGACATTTTTGTTACAATTTTTTAAGATTTTAATCTGCATCTGTTCCCTCATTGACCAGAGTAACTATGGTTAAAACTAAAACTGTAAAACTAAAACATGGTCCTTTACTTGAAATAAATTTCAACAGCAAAATGAATAAACGTTATCAATTATTATAACAAACAAACAAATAAATAAAGAAAGAAATATAGTAAACATTTTTTTTTTACATTTTTATTTAATACTTAAACTGCTCTAAATTATTTCAAGTTAAATTTATTCAGAAATTATATTCCACCCTGCATAGATCCAATTGCACAAGTTGAATAAATGACGACATTCTTCATGTTCTGGGTAACTTTGACTTCTATATTTAAAAAATATGAGAAAGAAAAAATAAGATGTTGATGATAAAGAATGCTGCTTTCTCTCCAACTATCCAAAACATCCATTAGTTCCCGGAGAAGAGGTCAGTGTGATTACACAGGAATTCCCGCTTTTGACTGCTGTGCCCTTTATAACACTAAAGCTGATGAATCTGAGCTCCTCGGTTTCCAGGAGATCTGCTTTAATACTGAGATCTGAAGATTATTCGCGTGCCATTCCCGATGAAGTCAATGTGACATGCTTTATAAATCACTGTCTGTTACTTCATAACACTAAAACTATGCTGGTCATGGGTACTCATGGTCACTTTGGTTTTTCACATTTTGAAATCCACTGTTATCACTGACACAGTGTTACTGTCTATACTGATGCAAATATCATTTGCATAGAGACAGGAAGAACATCAGACTTGATCACCACAATTAAAGTGGAACTTTTAGCTAATATCATATTCGAATTAAAATGAATGGGTGGTTAAAATAATTAGAAGTCATTTGCTAAACTTAGACTTAGAAAGACAGCTGCAGAATAACACTGCCCTACAAGGCTTTGGGCCCTATAATGTCCAAGATCTGGATATAAGCAACCCATCAATATAAATATTCGGTAGATATTACTACAATATTACTGCTCAACAGTTGAATATATATATAATAACCAGCTTTTATACCATAGTTTACAAATGTATAATTTAAAACTACAATAAAATATAAATTCAATTCAATTTGTTTAACTTTTTAAAAGTTGTCTATCAAGGTTTAATAATGCAATATAAATGCATCCATGAATCAAAACACCCAATGGAAAACCCATCAATGACCAACTACAGAAAATCAACAGTAATGTTTTACAGTGTACAGTAGTGGCCAAAGGTGATGTCTATTAAATCTCTGCACTTCATTCAAACATGTTACTAGACAGGTTTCCATCCTAATGTGAAGCATATCTTTTCATATTTCATCCAAATATGAATTAGGTGCATTTCCATCAAGTTGTTAGAGTGGCCGACTGTAGTATTGGTGACGTAGTTACCAACAGTAAACAAAGATGACTAGTCAGGTGTGTGTAACTCTCGCAACGTCAAGAGTTTATTCTACAAATGCATTTCCAAGTCCAAAAGCACCTCATTTAAGCCTAAAGACTTTTTGCTAATTAAAATTTGCTGTTTCCATCGCCCACTTATCGCAATACTTGATAATCTGTATTAAACACAGGGTGATGGAAACACAGCTACGGTTCTGCTAATAGAAACCTTCCAAAGCACATAATTGGGCTTGGAAGGAGTAAAATGAATGGATATAGTTCCACTATACATTTAAATTGTTTTACTTGTTGTTATGGAAGAAAATTGAGTAATGTGCAGGGGAATAAGCATTATAATATATATATATATATGAATAATTACAGTAACCCTTCAGTTTAAGTAATAATTCACACCATTTACTTCTGGCTTATTACTTATATTATATTATTTATTCCTATTATTAAGATATTAACTGTTTATTACCACTTATTTTACATCGCTAATCCTACCCAATACCTTAACCCAACTACCTACCTTACTACATATTAATAAGCAGCTAATTAGTAGTTTATTGAGCTAAAAAGTCTTGATGGTTTGTTAGTAGTGTGAATTGTACAGTAAACTAAAGTGTGACCATTAATTCTTTATATTGTGGTTAACATATTCTTTTCTTTGTAAGTTTATGCATGTCTGGCATGTTATCATAGTAAATTTAAACCTATTTTCTATTATAATCTGTAAACTTGCCTTTTTTACTGAATAATTTTGTCAGTAAAAGTCAATATCCAATATATCTCTTTGCAATATAACATGTTACTCAAATTTTAATGGTCTAATAAAGCTTGTAGGGTCACTAATATCACATATTATGCAATTTCACCTACTGTGCTTTACTTTTAACCACTACTGCATGAATTCTGTTCTATAATGGAGGATTTTGTCCAATAATGTGATTATAAGCTGAACTTCTTCTCACCTTCAGGTCTTCAGGGACGAGCATCTTACGGGCCTTTTTAATCATGGGCTGAGGTTTGAGGTCCTCATCAGAGAAGTGATGTCGGCGTGGATCAAAGGCCTCCTGTCCGGGTACACTGGATAGCGCCACGTCCGCTGGATCGGGGTCAAATGGCGCCAGCAGCTCATTGCAGTTGGTGGCGGGTGGAGTAGGGAGCGGTGGACATGTGGTGGAGGAAGGTGAAGGCGTGGGCTCTAAGCTGCCTGGCGGAGTGCCTGAAGATAAAAAACAAAACAAAAACATGCCCTGATTCAGTCACGCTGCTGTGTGTGTGCACTTTCACAATAATCTAACCAAAAGAGCCACAAGAGGGCAGTAGAAGCTAACAGAAAGCAACTCCAGCAGCCCGTCCCTTGTTTTTCCATTTTCCAATATTTCTAGGCTGAGCTAGGGATTACAAAACCACGAGATGAAGGGGTTTAAATTTTAGAAATGATTCATTTGATAATGAATTTGATGCAAATAATTTGTTATATTATATTTGAAATCAGTGTCTGTCTCTCTTTAATTAAATAAATGTTGAGAATATATATATATATATATATATATATATATATATAAATATATATATATATATGAGCAATTCCATGGAAATGTCAACCTTGCGTTGAAAAAATTAAGATTTCACCAAAATATGGAAACCAATTCTGTTTTTTGTTTTCTTGTATTTAACAGTACTTTAGAAATAAATACTGAAAAATTTCTCTGGTAAATCAAATATAATAGTTTGAAAACATTGACAAAGTCACATAAATGGAAATTTGTCACATCTTTCACATTCATAATGGAGAGATTTCACATCCATACCGACACTTTTTCCTTAAAAATCCAAAAAGTCAAATAAAATAAAAGTTAATCATTTTTGTTCTTTAGAAAGACATATTTTATCCTTTTGATTAACAATATTTATTTTGGGTTGTGTAGTTTAATTTCCAGAATTTCCACAAAAAGTATGTTGTGTACTGTAAACCTGCAGAATTTTTTTTTGTCATATCCATAAGGGATGTTTATTTTCCTCATTTAAAGTACAACACATGTTTACCGAATGATATTTTTCTGGTCCCTTAACTCTGTGGTCAGTTGTTTTGGAAAATATAAACCAATGTTTCAATATAATGTTAACATTTACTTTATATGTGAATTCATGTTTTAAGAAACTGATAGAATTGTGTTTTTTAATATATTTTTTTCTTTATATATATATATAAAACGTTTGACTACTGACGATAAATTTGTAAGATTCTCCTTAATAAAACTCAAAAGATATTGGTGTGCAAACAAATACAAAAATATCTAATTTTCTCTGTAAGGCTCTTGAGCAAATTTGCTTTAGGGAATCTAAGTGGACCCTGTCATGACAGCGCATCAAATCCACCGTTGCTATGTTATGAAAATCTATGTGTTGAGCCATAAACCTAATCTACTGTCAGTAAAAGTGCCCTTAAGAGTAACTTTAACCCCATTTGGCAAAGATCATCTCTGTACTGTCCACTGTGGCACATGCACTGACACAGGCTCTCTCTCTCATTTTTTTTTTTTGACGGCTTGATAAAATCTGTACAAATACGTGTGATGGCTTCTGCATGTGCTTTTTAATCGGGTTGAACATTTTAAATATTTACCAGAAGCACTTTTAATCTCGCGCTCTCTCTCTTTCTTTTTTAGCCACTTCAGAAATGTAAACAAACATCTAATCGGAAGTACAGTATCAAGTTCGAACTGAGTCATTCCATCTCAATCTTTCAATCTCTCCCTGTCTGTTACTTACGCTTGCTCACGCTCACACACACACACACACACTCCCCCACACACACACACACCTCCTCTAGTCTGGTCGGCTCCTCCCCTGTCCTCGGCCCCAGCACGTGATTGAGCGAGCGCACATGGACCAACGTGTGAGGAGAGGAAGAGATTTAAAAACATGCGAGCACAATTGCACACACACGCCGTCTCTGCCTTTCATTCTTTGCTGCTGGCTCACCTGCGTTTCTCTCACTGTTTACTTACCGGCCTTTCAATCGCTGTATTTTTCTAGCCTCTATAGCTAAATCTTTTCCTCTCTTTTCATGTGCTGTTATCCCCATTTGTCTTTGCATGTGCCCTTTTTTCCCCCTTTACTGCCAGTTTCCTTTAGGACATTTCTAACTGATCCAGTCTGTTTTCAAATACACATGCAAACTTTACACTCAGCTTTTACTCAACAACCCATTACATACTCAAATACCTTTTGATGACACGAAATACGCACAATATTAACGCATACCTAGAAAACAACATGAACATCTTCACAAAAATCACAAACAACCGCACACCCTCGAACACTCACTCCCAAAAACTGCCCAAACCTCTTGACACTACAAATAGTCAAGCCTACAAATACACACTATGAGCTTCAATCCACACTTATAACAACATACACACACACACACCCAAACCATTAAAACTCTGAAACTACTCAGTAATACACAAACACACACACACCCAAGGGACAGTCTGGTACTTTTTTCAGCTCACAGAACGAAATCCTTGCGAATTCTTGAAAGCAAAATGGAGGAAGTGTTTGAATTGAGTGAAACCTCATCTACCACCCATAGTGTTTCCTTTCCTAATCTCGATGAGCTGGTCTTAGTCTTGTGGGTTTTCAACATCCTCTCTAGCTTGCATCTTCTAGAGCAAGTTATATTTAAAACCCAATGTAGACTTCTATATTGAATGTACACAGTAGGTATGGTGTAGGTTATGCATGGTTGTGTATCCTACGCCGTACCCTGAAGCGAAACTCCTCAAAAATGTAAATTGGCATCCTAACAACGTGATGGCAAGATCTGTGATTGGTAAAATTGGTAGCATTACTTTCCTCCAATGCATTTCCAGTGTGAAAGCACAGAAAAAAAATGGATGTCCTTCTCATTATTTTGGTTTTGTTTGTACTTATTTCAATAAAAGCTACTATTTTTCAACATCCATCAGTTTCAGGACCAACACAATCAGCTCAGTTCCATCATGTAGTAGGCCAAACTCAAATCTTAAACCATTTGAACACAGATAAACTTGTGTTTGTTGGGTGTAAAACTGTAGAGCAACACAGATTGAAGGCAGAAGTATTAATGCACAAAATGGCGTCGGCTACATGTGCTGCGTATTATGACACGGGGTACAGCGTCCAATTGACGCTAAGTATTAAATGGCTCTTAGGTCTTGTTTACACAGTATTAAAATAGATTTTCATCAAGCTGAATATCAAGTGGGTGCTAAATACAAGTGAAAATGGGGTCTAAAGTACTAAAGGCATGTCCATTTTCAACACCTTCCTGTGGTATTTGAAAATGGAATTGGATTGCTTTCATAGTTTAAACACTCATGTGGTCAAATGTCTTTGATCAACCACATAACCCCACCTACTCTTTGTCTATTGACCAAACATGTGATCATTATGGGATATGCTGTATGAGAGTAAACAAAACATGGCATTCAAATTGTAGTTGCCATCCACATCGTTTTCGTTTACTTGCTTAGAAGCAACACAGCATTGGTTGTACACTGCATATCGAACTACTATTAACCTGATGTAGAATGTGTCCAAATAAGATGGAGGATTCTTGACGAAATCCAAACACAGGGAGTCTCAAGAGGTGGTGGAAAACCAAGTGAAAACCATAATGCATCTTGCTTGTGAGTGTATACCTGAAAATGAATGTAGATTGGTAGAAATGGGGGCCTAACTCACCATGCAAGCAGTCTGTAGATCCCATCATGCTCTGGGGCGTGTGCATGTCCAGCCCGAGCAGTGAAGGTGAAGAGGCAGTGGCGGATGTTGGTGACGAGGAAGAGGAGCAGTGTGGTGGTGATGTGGGGAGGCACTGGGAGCCCTGGTTGGGAACGGCGGACTGAGAGCTTTGCGAGGGTATCTGAGCCGAGGTGGAGTTGGAGGTATTGTGCATGCTGCTCATCCCGTTCTCCGTCAGGAACTCCTCGAGATCCATGTACTGCAACTGAAACAGCCCGCCATCACAGGGCAATGTTCGTTCCCATAGCAACGGGCCCAGGAAGGAGTTGTTATTGTTGCTGTTGTTTGAGAAGCTGCCCGTTCCTGCTCCATTGCTGTCAGTGACTAGTCCATTGCTGCAGCCGTTGCGCAGAGGACAACGGCCGAGAGAGTCCTCATCGATATCTAACCTTTCCTTACCTGTGAGAGAAACAAAATACATCCAATTTAATCTGGGTATATATACTAAGCCATCAAAAAAAAAACATGCCAACTACTAATTAACACTTATAATGACATTTCTACATTTCAGGAGTGCAATGTTTGTGAGATTACGCAGTTAGGGGCGGAATAACAGTTCCCAGCAACTTTCACATCCCTCTGGGAGAGCTACCTTTGCAATGTCAACACATGTGAATAGATGCGCCTCCCAGTGCATCAATGCAAAATGAAGAGGCTTTGAAATACCTTCCTTTAAACTTGCAAAAGATTAATGTGTCTGAAAGTCCATGGTAAAGCGATTACAATGTTGTTACACTGCTGTGACACTGCTTAGCTGCGTGGCACAGCAACAATGTTGTCGAACAATGACTAAACGTTACAGAATTGCGCTATTATGATTGAACCAAAGCAATGACGCAAAAAACAACAGGTGTAACAACAAAGCCAGATGAGTATTGTAGAACACAATATTAGCAATAGTACATGGCTGAGGCCTGAAGGTTTCCATCTTAAAGTATTAAGGTGGGGTCTGAGACACTCTAGGGTGAGGTCTAAATGCTTAACAACTCCAGTTAGTCTAAATCAGGCATTTTATGGCGCATTGGAGTGGAAACCAGAACCACTAAAGGCAGTTTGAAATTTGCAATTTCTGGTTGAGTTATTCAGTATAAAAACAAACCATAAAAATGTAATTGGGTTTTAAGTTTGTAGTCTTTCCTCTATGAAAACACAGCAGACTGTCGCCTAAAACTGCCTACGCTTAAAAACAATTAGCCAAACACTATAAGCGTTGCTGAATCGACAAATACACTAATACTGTTCAAAATTAAATGTGCTTTAATACTACATAATAAGATTCACAAATCCTGTGCACACACAATTCAATTTTGCTCCTCATCTATTCAGGGTCATTTCGCATTTATGGCGAGCAAATAATCAGTACAAAACAATGACACGGACAGCAATCCATACTGAAGCTTTTCCAATATTCACAGGCAATGGAAAACTTCTGTCAGTGTGGTTAGGCTGTACCCAGCGCAGGCCTGTAAACAAAATGGCTTAGCCAATAGTTGACCTCAAAGCACCTGGGTAGTGCGCTAAGTGGCTGAATGGCCTGGCCTTGTTTATCTCTTCAAGTCCCATGTGATGTCCCGTCTGAGAGATATGCACGATGGCACATGACCCTGCCATTTGACATGTGCAACCACACATGAAAGAAAAACTGCCACCTTAGGAATTGAGAAACTAACTCTCATTGTGTATATTAGCACATTTTAGTCTTAATGAAATTAAGAAATATATATATATATATATATATATATAAAACAGGTGCGTTTCCTCACCCTTCATTTCACCACAGTCTTTCACGCGCTGATCACATTTGACTGGAAGCTGCAGGAGAGATTTTAAGTTTCCTGTGGAGTTTAAGTGTCCTCCGTTATGTGTGACTCCTGCTTGGCTACTGTTGCCAAACTGCGGACTGGCTCCGGCAGAGGGAAGGTCCGGGGGAAGGAGCTGTGAAAGCGGCCTGGCCATCATCCAACGTCCGCCGGATTGACCGCTAGATGCTTGCGTGGTTCGATACTATTGTGCAGCCGTCAAATCAATCACATGACGATTCATAGTGGAAGCAAGCAGAAATACATTAATATCGACATGACTGTGTGTTCAGACATCACAGATATCAGCATGTAATGCAGTTCGTATCATAAAAGTAGACAAAGTTGTGAAGTCACGCAACACGAGACCGTGTTTACTTTAGAGACAGAGGAGGAGGAAAGACCTGCGCGCTCACGTGCAGCACCACAGCATCTGATCACAGATAGAAAATGTATAATTACCTTTATTTGAAAACAGCCTTTTTTTAAACAAAGAGCGCCATTCTGCTTGCAGTTGATGGTAGATTAGACGAATGGACAGAAATATACATTCCTCGTATTCCCAGAAATTCTTGACAGTTTATGTTCTGCCGGAACTTTTGAAGAAAAATAGACAAATGTCCAGAATAACGACCTCCAAGCGCAACGTACAGACAATAATTTAACAAAATACAGCGACTCAGGCGAAGAAACAGGAAGAATAAATGACTCCAAAACCGCAAATGATAACTTGACTGCTGGAACTCTTGAATGCGTCGCCTCGAAAATGACAAATGAAAACAAAACGAAGTGTTGCTGAGTCAATTTCTGCTGCGTAGCGCGATTGGTGGGATGTTGACGTTTTTTTCCATGCAGTCGCTCAATCGCTTTTTTCCCTCTGTGGTCACCCCCTTCTGTTCAGTTCTCTCTGCATGTGTGTTGTCGCACGCTTTGAGCTTGAGCCGTCCGAGCTTTTCGCTCAGCTGGAACGAACACGGGCCGCTCACGTGACGTCACACCTCCCAGTCTAGAAGCGCGAACATGGCACTACTTGCACGGAGTTTTAATATTAATGAGGCACGCCCCCTCGTGACAGGCACGCTCCTCGGGGGTGGGTGGCACTGATTAAAAACAAATTGGTCGATAATTTCATTCCCAGCTGTCCTACGTTTGGCACTATGAAACAGCATTAACATGTGGCATTTATCGAGAACATTTTGAGAGTGGCCAGTTTTACAGAGCATCACAGATATGTTTATAATCTGTAATATAGACTGCTGATCTCACCTAACAAACGGTCGAGTTTTATCACTCAGAGAGCTACCTTTTGGGGGAAACCTACCAAGCGAGCGGGCACACTTTTTCACTTCACTGGTAATCCGCTGGAAACGTGAGCATCATGCGAGAGGAGATGGCAACTACACGTTGTGTCTCAGGAACACAGACGCGCTCTCCAGTGCACATGGTGTCCGCACGCGGAGACGCGGCTCAGCCTCGAGTGCTTATTGCTGTGATTGGCTGACAGAAAACAGGCTCCTCCCGGCTCGGCCGGCCATTGGTTAGCATAATGCACGACGCTCCGCCCATTTAAACCACCCATGCTACAGCCGCGTGAGAATACAGAAACTGCGTGAATCCAGGCGGAGTGGCGCACACACCCACAAAACATTCAGAAATAAAGGAAACAGATTGGCTGTGGCTGAACCTGATGAACCCAACCTCACGAGAGTATCCAAGTATGCTTAATGCAGGTATTTACCATTTCATAGCTTAACATATTACTAGTCCAGCTATACATCAGAAAATTAATAAACAACATTAGATGGATACAAATACTGATAGACAACACGTTTCCTTCACCCATAACAGGAAATAAAAACAGTGGATACAAATTAATTTCTGCCCTCCCTCGTGCACAAACACACTCGAGGACGCTCATACTTGTTTTCCACCCACTATCAGCGTTTTAATCCATGTGACAGTTGTGCTGCCGGGCTCCAGCTTCACACCAGAGGTTGCAGGATCCTTGCTGCCACCAACTGATCAACATGGAAAAGAGCAATGCAAAGTGCTACAATAATAGTGTATACAGTTCTGGGATAAAAATAAAGACATCTGTCACAAATCGGTATCCTAGATTTGGATTTTACATTAAAATAGCTGCAGAAAAAATAGAGGGACCATTTTTTCCTGAATGTGCTGGATTTATTAGGTATATGTTTGGGTAAATTATTATAGTTTTTCTATAAATGTCTAATAATATATTAAAGTAAAATAATGTAGTGTTTTTTTTAAAAAAATGCATTATGCAGTAAAATCTCTTGTGGAGATAAACATTGCTATTATGTTTTTTTTACTTCTTATTTTATGCTGTAACTGAAAACATTTTTAAATTTATTAGAAATGTCATCAGTAGTTTGCAGAAAACATGTTTTACTCAAATGGGCCTCACTATAAATACATACATATACATGTGTTTATATATACACACACATGTATATGTATATGTTTATAATTAGGCCTATAAGTGTTTAAGTAAAACACATGCAACTTTATATGAATATTGAAGGACTGAAATATGGAATATCTGCAAATAAGTACTTTATGATATTCATATTTGAAAATTTGAAGACACATTGAAATGGGTGGTGGAAGGAAAATGTTATTTTCCTAAGAAAACACAAATTAACCTTTTACCTCAAAACACATACCTAAGAGTGACACATTCAAATAAACCAATCAGTTTGATTGGTCTATTGTTATTTTTCCCAGAGCTGTAGAACTCCAATTCTTTTTGAGAAACCAATTTTACAACCACAAAGCCTGTGCATTTTTCAGGTAAAAAAAGGCAAAATGAATAAAATTAAATCCCAACCATTACAATAATAAAAAAAATGTATGAAATCATACACTGTTTTTGACACTGCAGGTGTTTATGAAGATTAAATGTGCATCTAGCAATGTTTTATGCATTTTTGTGTGGCTAATAATCACACAACATTTCTTTTTTGGTATTAAAAAAATAAGGTAAGAACACATTAATAAAGAGTCAATTAATAACCTTAAAGAAACAGATTCTAAACATTTAAACAAAATTTAAACAGTGTAACAAAGATTTTAAAAAAGCAGAAATGAAAAATAATAAACATAATATATCAGGAATGGGCTACATGCACAGCTACTGTTTCTCAACCAATAGGAAACTTCCCGTGAAAGGTTAATGAGGCTATTTTAAATTTTATAAGGTTCCTTTTACAGCATCAACAACGTAATGTATAATAAATACAATCAGTTAAATAAACTTAGGCATTAATTTAGATGTTCAAGCATAAAAGAAGATGATGGACTTGGTAACCGCTAGTGCTGTCAGTAACAGCAGGCTAGCACAGATACTCTTTTCAAAATACTGGGGTAAAAAAAATATGCATATTTTAAAGAGATGGCAAGTAAAATGGAATTTAATGCAGCGCTTCTTGTCCAATCTGAGACAGACTTTATATAAAATATCTATAAGGCAGTGAAGATCACTGATTTTTAAAGTAATCAGATCTTAAACTTGGCGATTTTTTAATGGAAAGGCAGTTCATTGGAATTAAAAGTGCATGTGCATATACTCCATTGATTATTCCATTATACCTGTATACCAATACAGGTGGGTGTATGCAAATGCATATTTTTTGTATTTATGCAAATGCATATTTTTTGTATTTTAATGAAAAAGCAAATGAATATAAAACATAAATGTGTACATGGAATAATGAGAATATAACATTTTCAAATTTTATTAAATGCTTGGGTATCATCAACAACCAGCTTATAATGTGTAAATAAAGTGATAGAAACGTACTTATTTTCTTCTTTTAAAGAAAAAAAGAGGCTATAAGAAGTATGGCATCTCTACATAAAAGGTGAAAAAAGTACATGGGATACGTTCATAGTTGGCAAGTGGACAGACCGTGTCACACATTAATACACTTAATCAAGACCTGATCTAAAGTGATAACTCTTACAATCACTCTTTCAACTACCTGAAGTGTAGCTATGATAAAAAGATAACTGACATTTCCTTAAAAAACATAATAAAATATTGACACAATTTACATTACAGTACACTCATTTCTCTCCATTCTACCCTTTAAACTCTATACATAAACGCTACATTGTACAAGCCATAATATGTTGTTATAATTGTCACAATTTGGTAAGGCTTTGCCTTCAGGGCAAGAATCTGTAAATTAAATTTGTAAATATTTTTTGTCTTTTGACTGGTTATTGGGAAAATTATATTTTTCCTGTTTAAGTGCTGACGTTACTTTAATGGTATTTTTCTTCTCAAACAGTAAATAAAGCCAAATGGGACTCACATTTGATATTACACATTGTTAATCAGCATGTGTTATTATGCATTAGTTACTTTTGGTTCCTCTATTAAGATTTAAGGTACATTTTCAATTGGATTTGTCCCCAGTCGCCATTCCTCTCGACCTGTCAACACAAGGACAGCAATGTCCAACATGCAGTAATTTAAATACTCTTTAAAATAAAACACTCGTATTCCTAACAGAACCCTTTTTTCTTCTTCGTATACTGATCGCACTTTTTACATTAACAAAACCACACCTCCACACTTGCTCTAAGTGAACACCAACAAGGTAATATATATCAGAGACAGAATAATTCTACAGAGCATTGGTTGAGGAATAGTGAGCATACTGCATACTGTTAAGGGCACAGTACATGTTTAGCCAAATCAGTGAAACTATTGCCAGCCAAGGATCATTTCGATAAAGTTTCCACTTAGAAGACTGGTGTGGTACCGCACAGATAGGTAGGCTAAGCATTTCTTTAAAACAAATTCCATTTAATACATCTGTGAGTTCGCTGAAGGTGTTCGTTTTCAGGGATCTGAGTTATTAGAGGAAATGCAATTGAAATGATTGAGAGAGTAACGAAAAAGCTCTCATGACACAAGTCAATGTCTACATGAGCAAAGGGTGTACTCAGTCAGATATTTGTCATTAAAATCCCAACATTTCTAGTCTCAAAGTGCATATGAAAATGAATTTAAAGACAAAATTGAGTGCATTAGAAAGGTAAGGACGAAGAGTTCCCTTTGCACTCGAACCTCCTGTATGTGGATCCCATGACTAATTTAACACAAAGCGCCCTCTCTTGTTGAAACCTAGCTAAGGTCCCTCGACACACCTTCTTGTGCCGTGTGAGGAGCATTGAATTCCAGAAACGACAGGGACAATGTCTACAGGAAAAAGCTCTGTTGGCTAAATGGGAGCTTCGGTGAATGAGAGCAGAGAGGAATTTGCGAGACTGTTTTCCACAAACTGGGCATTTCAAACGATGCTGAAGGCCTCTCACTTTGGGGCAATGTCTAGCTGCTATATGAACTTTTAGTGCAACCTGTTGTGAAAAGGTAGCACCAAGGCAAAGGGGACAAGGCCTTCGTTTCAGAGGAACTTTGAGAGAACGAAGCCTGTTCAGCTTCAGTCCACCTGGAAGGCCCAGTTCATAAACAGCACTTCCTCCACTTCCACGCCTGATTCTCACAAGAACAGCCATGCGCTTCTTAATTTTATGTTGAGTCCTGTGAATTGCTCTCCTTTTTCTCTTGAGAAAATTTCTTTTCTCATTTCTCTGCCTTTCCCCATGTGGGACCTCCGGCTGCTCTCTCTGTACTTTTGCAGCCGGGGTCCATTTGTAGCCTATCTCCTTTCTCTCTTGCCGTCTTTTTTTTTTTTTTTTGCGCCGCCTCAACTCTTCTTGGCTTTGAAAAGTGTGATGCTGTGTAGATTGAATCCCAGCTGGATGCTGCTGGGGATTGTGATGTTGCTGATGTGGCTCTGATGGGGGCAAAGCGAGGGACTGCACAGGTATGTTTGGAGCAAGAGTATGCCTGTGACCAATGTGATAAATGGGTTCACCTTTTATCCCAGAGTGCTGATGGTTACAAAGAAGAGGCCCTGAGGAAGTTGACGGCAGAGAATGAGAATAAGAGGAGGCATTAGATGAAGATGGGTGTGTAGCATTGGCATCTGGTATATAAAACAGAGGGGAGTAGCCACCTTGTGGTTGGGGAGGTGCATGGTGGCTGTGAAGAACTCCATGCTGTTCGCCATGTGTGCCACTGGGTGGCGCTAGCTGAAGCAAAGCATTTGTTGCAGCTTCACTCTCTGATATTGCACCACCAACATTAGTTTCTTCACCTGTGCTCCTTTGAGCAACTGGCTGACCAGTCCGTGTTAAGCCATGCTGAGAAAGCCTGTGTCGTGTAAGGCTGTTTGAGTATGCAAAAGCCTTTCCACAGACTTCACAGGAAAACAGTTTTTCTCCACCACCCTCGTGAACCGTTTGGTGATGCGCAGTCAAATGAAAGTGATGCCGGAATGATTTCCAGCATATAGCGCAAGTGTACAGTCTAGGTGGGGGCTGTGTGTTTGATGCATGTGGTTTGACATCTTGAGAGTATGGATAGAAAGAAGAAGTGCTGCTTTGGCCCCCTTGAATCAAGTTGCCACCAGAGGATGGATAGCTGTTAAGGTTTTCTATGCCTGGCGTTGTTGGCACTTCCTCCAGTTCTCCTTTCTGGTGTAGTTTGCCATGTCTTTTAAGGCTCTGGGCATATCCAAAGTCCTTTCCACACAGAATACATTTGTAGTTCTTCTCTCCCGAATGCACTGTGTGGTGCTTGCTAAGATGAAATGCCTCTCTGAAGTACTTGCCACATACACTACAATGGTGAGGCTTTTCCCCAGTGTGTATTCTGTCATGCCTTCGCAAAGTTTCTCTTCGTGCAAATCCTCGACCACAGACACTGCACAAATATGGTCTGATTTCCCCACCAGGCATTCCTAGTCTGTTAGGCCTTCTTTTAGGAGGCTCAGCACCAACCTCTCCGGGTTCCTTTTTTTTGCGGGGCTTACGAGGGCGCTTGGGCTTTCCACCAGGTGTAAGCTGATTTGGTTGCTGGTTATGGACCACAGCACTACCTCTATAGGACTTATCCAGTCCAGATGTTGATAACGGACCACTAGGTGAGGCAAGAGGCCCTAGACCCAGACCTCCAAGCAATCCACCAATGATATCCCTTCGATCCTCCCCTCTGCCTCCACCATGGGCAAGATCACCACTCATACAATTTGCAGCTGCAGCAGTGATAGCAGAAATGGCATTGTTGACGGAGCTAGTGACATCATCTTCAGAGTCGTCTAACAGAGATGAAAGTGGGAGATGTGGCTGTTGGTGATGCTGCTGGCCTGGGTTTTGTGAGTGTGGATGCAAAGTAGGAGCTAATGGTGCCTTCCTAAGTGCAGTCCCTGTCAGGCTGCCACCACATGGGGTTGTTCCAGAATACATGTTACCTTGAGAGCGCTGGTCCTTGTAGTCATCACTGAAACCATCACCCCGGTAAGAACCTGCACAACAGACTAAACAGTAATAATGCTATGCACACACATTTCACAGTGCCTATGAAAAATTTTGACTTGATTGGGTTTACTAAAAAAACTACTCTAGACGTTACTCACCCGCTGCATTAGCCGCTATTCCATCTTGGGAGCCCCCAGCTTTATTGCTCTTGCCTTGAACTATATTACTTTCATGCTTAGATCTCGGTGTACGTCCCGACTTGCCACAGGTGCCAGAGGCTGCATGGTTCAATAGGGACGTACTTTCACGAAAACAGCGGCCACAAGCTGGACAGCGGAATGGTTTCTCTTCATGAATTTTTTCATGGCGGGTGAGTGACTCACGCCGATTGAAAGCACGACTACAAGTACTGCAGGCATAGGGCCGAGCCCCTGAGTGAATAACACCATGTTGAAGGAGATGTCCTTTTTTCTTAAAACACTTGCCACAGTCAGAACAATGAAAAGTCTTGTCAGGACTGCCACATGAGGATGAGGCTGAGCTTTCTTGAGTAGAGTGCGGAATACATGGATCAGAAGGATGCAAGACTGGGTTTAAAATGTTACTTCTTGTGCCACTTGTGCCTGCTGTGGTTAATTCATGACTACGTAGGTGCCTGCGCAGACTAGAGAGCTGTGTGAATGTTTTGCCACACTCACCACAATGATAAAGGGCTTCTTGTTCTGTCTCGGATTGTGGTGGCATGACACCATGACTGCCCGTTTTCGAGCCGTTTGTCACTAAGACTGATGTAGAAGAGGCTACAGAAGATGACACAACAGAAGTAGAGGATGAAGAAGTTAAGTGCGAGGAAGGGTCTCCAGCAATACCTGACAAACCAACACCCCCACCTCCATCCAAGCCTGCTGTGTTCTCTTGGTTCAGTGCTCTTAAAGTGCTACTGTTGGGGTTTGTAGAGCTATGATTGTTGCTGCTATTATTGTTGTTGTTTTCAGTCTTTCTCTGTGGCAGGTAGCCAGCCATAGCTTTTTTTCTCCTACCACCAGAGGAGCCACCTCCTCCAGCAGCGCCATCGCCCTTTCCCTCCTCTTTTGATAAAGAAAGATGTAGTGGAAGAGGAAGTGGCAGCCCAGCTTCCTGCTGCATTAGAGATGCTAGCTGGTTGGATGAAAGAACTGGGATTCCTTGAAAGTCAAAGCCCCCGAGTGAGGAAGGCTGTGAGGAGGAGTGCAGTGGATGGTGTGGATGTGGGTGGGGGTGAGACAAAGTGTGTGGTGGTAGTTGCTGCTGTTGTGTTGGTGGCTGTTGAGGCTGTGATAGAGTGCTGGGGTGACTATGAGTGTGTGAAGAATGAAGAGCGGGGGGAGGAGCGAGAGCCGAACTTGCCTCTCCTGCAGCTTGGCCCAGTCCAAGCCCAAGGTGGTTATGACTTCCTTGCTGAACTAAAAATTGTTCTAGACTGGAATTGGCTGGTACTCCAGAAAGAAAATACTGATTTGCTGCCAACATGCAGCTAAACTGTTGATGTAGGCTTCGGGCATCAGACTGAGATCCTGCTAATTGATGGCTCAAGGTGGTTACTGCACTACTGCTGGGAGGGTTATTGGACGTTGAAACAGAACTGGAAGACGGGGAGGAGGTTGATGGACCAGGGGCGGCTTGAGGTACTGACAGGCCAGGATGCAGTGGGGGTGGTGGCGGTGGAACAGATGTAACTAATCCTCCACTTCCACTACTGCTGGCAAAATGATCAAATCGCCCTACTCCTGGATGCAACTGCTCTTGTGCAAGGGTGCTCTCAGTTGGGTGGAATGTGCGCAAAAACTGAGGGTACCCACTCACATGACTTCCACCACTGCCACTGCTTCCAGACATTTTGCTTGACTTCCTTAAACTTTGGGATGAAGACAAAGACTGTTGTTGTAGAGGTGGGGGAGGTGCACTCATTTTTGCAAAAATTGATGTGGAATCTGTAAACGCACTGCCTCTAGATCCTTGTAGTGGGCCTAAGCCAAGTCCAGACAAAATTGACCCAGACGTCTCACTCTGCTGCTGCTGTTGCTGCTGCTGTAACTGGTGTTGGTGAAGCTGCACTTGTTGCTGGTGTTGAAGTTGTCGCTCTAATCCAAGACTTTTAAACTGATGGGACTGGTGTCCACTCAGCATCTCTATGATGTCCACATTGTATTTTCCAAACTGGAACATCTCCCAGTTACTGAAACATGGGTGCGCAGTGGCAACACCTTCTGCTCTATGAGCAGCAACAATGTCTGTTTAAAGCTTTCCAACTGAGTTTCAGCAGTTTCAGTGCAAAATGGTGCTTTCTAACATGTTCCTTATGTTTATGTTGTTTCACTTAAACATGCACCACGTTTTTTAATATTCTGGTGAATATTTAAGGAGGACATTTTGCTTTGATTGTAACTTGAATTTTTGATTTCTGCAAAAAAATCATTTTCCATGGATGTTTCATTCATGGGATTATAAAAATCAACTCCGTTTGGCTGCACACTGGATTCCATGTAATCACAGTTTTTGTACAATTCACCTCTGATACTGTAATTTCAGTTTGAATGTTCCATCAGAGTGCAAAGATGTATGAACTGGCAGAATAAATGCCACTTGATGCAATTATGCATTTACATTTTGGAAAGTGCTGTAAAAAAATGTGATCAATGTGGTTCAAATTCATTGAAAAACTTGCTTGGTTACATTTTTTTTTTCATTTCATGACAGTCCCACAGCAAGATGGATCCCTCCAAATCCCATGGGCCGATTTCATTTCATTGAATATTTATTCATTCTAAATCCACTCTGGTATAAATGGCTTACATCTCCGTTTCCAAGTTTCCATTAATATATTCTTCTTTTTTCCACAGTTGGAAGCAACATCCTCCACTACCATTCTTGTAAAGGTGCTCTTTCTGCCACTCCTTTTCTCACTGTAAGAGGACAAAAAATCAGCAACATGTTAAATTATTGCTTTCAAGAAAATAAATGCAGTTCTAAAAACAACCTTAAATGTAACTGATTATAAAAACTACAACAGAGAGAGAGACAGCTTATTACAGTAAGCATTTAATGTTTGTTTATATTTAATACACAGAAAAAAACACATGTAATGCACATATGTTTGGCACCAAATTGTAACTGTTGTGCATTTGTATTCTTCAGCAGCAAAAAGAATGTACCTTATAATGGCATGAACAGTAATAACACAAAAACTGAATGCCTGTTTATTTCTGGTGAACCCTAAAATGTATCCTCACTACAATGGTCATAATGTATTCTGTAATAACATGTGGAATTTAGGACTAATCAGATTTGTTCGTCGTATCCATCAGCATCATCTAAATTATAAACATGCATATTCAACCGATACTGTGTGTAGTACTGATGCATTTCCCGAATGTCATTATACAGTCACAACACGACACTAACCAAAAGTATCGTAAAATACGTTCTCGTATGATATGCGCAATGAAAAACAGCAAGATAAGACTCATGTCAAGATATTTATACAGTTTTCTCATTTCTCAATATAAGCGAGTGTTTTCTACGACTTTATCTTACATTCTATGCAGTTGGCATTGTGCAGAAAAGATGCTGAGTGCAGAGTGAATCGTCAGGGCTAGAGGTGAATTTCATGCAATTATTATCTTCCGATTGCATCGCGTATCGCTAAAGGAGAAGAGAGAAAAAAAATCCATGTCGACAGACTCCAGGGAGTGTTTGCAAAATAGTCAACGACTGGAAAACGCACCCCGAATATCAATAGTGCACTAAAAATTGCTCTGGCGTATTAACGGACACGAAATATTTTAGCGCTGTGGCTACGAGTAACATGTTAGCATGCAAAACAGCTGGCTAATACTACACATTCAGCAAATGGACGCAGCCTAGCATGATGCGCGACCAAACAAAAGCAAACCGGGAGCAAATCTGTCTCATTTAGCAAGGAAATTAATCATAATTAAATCAAAGACGAAACAATAAAATAGGCCTTTTTACCTACGCATCCATCTTTTAGCCTGGTCAAGATGAACAGGGCCTGCTATTCTCTCTCCCACCCTGCCCCCCTCGTTCATGTACCCCAGCAGCTCTGCGCTGTTTTCCAGTGGTTAGCCTTCTAGCTACAGCTAGTAAGCAGACTCTGTTTCCATTGCAACCGAGCTGATAGCATGAGACCGAGGGTCCCTTATATTGCAGGACAGATTCACTTTTAAGTTATATCCTGTGGAAAATGCATCAAACGGCTTTAAGACCGATTGTCTTTTTTATTTAGCGTTTGCTTATTTTTCGGCTATAATATTTTGGACGGTCTATGTTGGTGTTTTAGAAAGGTACGAGTGACGTGTGAGATTTTAACATTGGTCGTTTCCGGACCTTGGAACACTTCCGGCTACCCCGTCCGTTATGTTTCTGTATTTATTATGGTTGCTTTCGGGAGAAGCGAGCGCACTTCTAATGCTAATATTCATAAATGTAGCACTAGTAATAAGACAGCATTCGTCCGGCTTTTAGCTGCGTTTAGCTTTCAAGTAAGCATTGTTGTTGTGTAGTCGAATTTGACATGTTTGCAAGTTCGCAACACGAGCTGTTTATGAGGCAACGTTAAATCCGAATTACAAATCGGCGAATATAAATCTGACATAATGTCCTAAAGTCGCTATTCGTTTATTTTAGGACTCCTTTAGCATCATGTTTGTGTCTAAGAAGCTCTTATAGTGGCCATTTTATTACATACTGACAGCTCAAATTCAAAGGCAGGTCCTTATCAAAATGGCTGCCTGGAATCTTTTCCACTCTTCGTGTAAAATAAGATACTAAATGCTAACATTAAACACTATAACATAATTTAAACAGTCTGTGTTTTCTACAGTGTATCAGACATTCGAGGCATATCAGTTTCATCAGTTGACTTTATTTTACAAAGGTGAAATTATGTGGAGGATGCAGTATTTAAATATTTCTGACTTGATGGGATTTGATATAATAGAAAGTGTGTGTAAACATCATGGGGGTAATGCTTGATCTGAAGCGATTTACCCAAACATCCGTTCTGCTTCTGTGCTCGAGCGTTTCAAGACATGAGCTCAGTGCTGTTTTCCCAAAGGGTTTCAGTCTTCATCGTCCCGCTTTGCTTGTGCAACAATTGCACATTCCATTGTAAGCTACCAAACTTTTAAAATGCTTCAGGGCTTTATTTGCACATCCAATGTTTGATATTTTCTGCAGTAATATGCCTTGTGAATAGATTTCATAAACATTTTCATAATTATGGCTTGTGGATACAAAACAGACATTGCTACAGACTTTTTATGACAAAGAAAATACTAAATCGATTCATCTGTTCTAACTGTCCCTGAAAGAAACATTAAGAAGTTGAAATTTCACTTAATCAACAAAAAAAGAAAAGAAGAAGAAGACATTCGGTTACACACATACAACATACATCCTATGACATCATCATCATTTATAAACCCATTGTGATGTATCTGCAATGAGTAATGACATTTGCAGGCTTAAAACGATTACAATGTGACATCACACTGAGATTTTTTTCAAAGGCACTCCTCATCATTAGGAATGCATGAAGAATCGGCACACAATGAGTGGCTTTAAAGTTTGTGCTTCTATTTTTCTACTCATAATTTCCAAAAGAATTTCATGAGAAAGATATCTAAAACAAGTTAACACTAAAACCACAGAGGAAAAAAATCACCATCATAATCATAAGAGAACCATAACAACAAGAAGAAATTTTCACCAATAACCATAATATTAACTGTCATAGTAATGACAATAACAAACACCAATGTATTACAGAGCTGTTAGGAAGATTGTCTTTAAGTTGTATTCATATTTCATTAAGATACACACTAGTTCCAGTGAAAAGGTAAATGAATGTGTTACCACCAATCCTCCGGATGCTGATGTGATATAAACTACTCCTTTACACTTTAACTGGGAGGCATAAATAGTCCGTAGGGTATACTATTCAAGTTCATTACACTGAAAAATCAACCAAGAGGTATAAAGTATATGACCAAAAAAAAAAATGAAGTTGGTGGTTTTACAATGTAAATAAATTCCTTTTCATTGGTAAAATGAGTTCCCGACACCTGCGTTATTTCCCAGAGGTCAGAACCATAGAATAATTAAATATCTGGCTCTTTTGCGAACAATCTCACACTTTTAATTGTACTATTTACTTACTACATTAACATCTTTTGTTGTTGTTGTTGTAAATAATGATGTTATTATCATTATATAATGTGTAAGCTGTCTGTAACATCTGCACCACTAACGCATGTGTGTTGTATAGCCCTTAATATTGATAAGCGTTATTGGTTATGAAGAGACCAGGTATGAAGTGTTGTGCTCATATCTGGGTAATAACAGATTCAAAACATACAGGTTAACTGTTTTGGCATGCTCGTATCCTTAAGACTGTTCGCAGAGAGAGTCTCAGTTTTAACAGCATATACACATGGCTTCATCATGGAGATTCAAAAAGCAGTCCAGGAGGTTTGTCTTTATGCAAATGCCAACCCACACCTGAGCGAGATAATGATACTGCCATGTTATGCGCACATTTTATGCCAGAATATTATTACGTACAAATATATTGACGAGTGCCCTTACTCTTGAGTTAGTTTTTTTCATCTCAGATCCGTATTTAATAGCTTAAGGTGAACCGTTTGTCTACACAGTATACCTAGGGGCAAAAATACCCAGCGTCACTGGAATCAAATGTATTATTTTTGTGCTTTTGGTAGTCCAGCGTCCCTCATGTTGAATCTCCCTTACAAATCCTAGCACTTGGACTTTGTAGAAAGTGGTGGCTCAGAATCCAAACAAGGTGCCATTGATCATTAATGAGTCTTTTTAAGATGGAGAAGAAAGATGATTGTCAGACATTTCTCTTGGTTTTCATTTGGGCTTTTCTGTCCGATAGTGTCCCAGAATGGCTTTCGTCGATAGTTCAAAGCGATCTCCAGTTATGTACTGAAGGGCAAACTTGAGGATTTAAAACTCATTGTGTAATATTTCCCAACAAAACAAACTGAACAGATACTCACTTGGTACATCTGTGTTAAATTCACACGGAATAAGATGCAGGCGAATAAACGTATGATAAGGCTTGCTTTCTCTGTCTCGCAGCGTACAAAATGAGTTCATCAAATTCTTTCGAGTTTATGAATGTGCTCCCATCATTGTTCATTTTGACGTATATTGTAAAAACCCTGCTGCACTTCCTCATTATGTCAAAGTGGATTAGGGTTTAAAAAGAGATAAGATCCAGCATTACATTTGTCCAACTGTAAGTAGCTTTACACTTCTTCAATTGGGATGAGCGCTCCTCCTTCAACTAGTTCCTCTAATTATTGTCTCCCATAGTAAGAAGATGAAAGTCGTTCTCTAAAATATATGGCTCCATAGCAGCTATATATATGTAATAATGTGAAATATCTGAGGATTAAAAACATATGACGTAAAGATATGAAAAATGTCAGTCACATCATGTGGAATTTATATTACACTATTGATATTCTATGCGGTAGGTTTATAGGCAAACTTTACACAAATAAATAGTTGTATAATATGGCAGCTTTGATCATAATTGTAGCGGCAATTTCATGAACATAAAAAGCACAACAACGTTGAAGCTCTATCAAACCTGACTTATAACTGCTGTTATCTAATCTTATCTCGAGCATTTGCCACTATATACAATATATATCTGTAAAAATATGGCGCCACTTCGCTCTCTGTCTAGTTTCTCCCACTTCATGGCCCCCCGACTTCAAAATCTGTTTCTCTGATTCCTTTACCATCCTCCTACTCCTTTTCTCTCTTCTCTCGTTATTCCTCTCCCTCTTCCGCCCACTCTAACTCTCTCTCTCTCTCCCACAGTTCCTCTACCATCCTCCAACTCTTCACACAGTCTATCCCTCAGCCATCTTCTCCATTCCCTCCTCTTGCTCACACAGTAACCTCATTCTTGCTTCCTGTTCTAACCCCTTGATTCGATGCCACTCCTCCACTTCCCCCTCCGCCGGGGATGAAGTGAAGTTGTTCAATGGTATTTTGCCTTTTAGCTGCAAATGCAAGCCTCCTGGCACTGTGTCCACCAAGAGTCCCTGTTCCCATAACCACCCCCGTTCCTGGCATGTCGCCCCATCCCACTCCTCCAGCCCCACCTCCACCCAGGTGGCCTGACATTGCCGCTGAATTCCGCTCTTGCTCTCGCCCCGATGTTGGGTGCGAGTTCATCTTGATCATGTGGTGACGGTCGAGTGATGGCGTAGCGCAAACATTCTGCTGCGACTGAGCTTTCTGATGGCTAACACGGGGAAGGGTGGGCACCATTCCGCCTCCTCCTCCACCCTGGTAGTCGCTCATTCCCATACCCATCGTGCTTCCATCATAATCAACCCCGCCAATCTCTTCCTCGAGGTGTTCTGGCGACATGAGCAGCCTCTCCTTGGACTTCTTCAAGGTGTTCTGGTTGTTGGAGTTCTTGGATGATGTGCCTTTGTAGTACTGGTGCTGCTGGTTTTTCGGGACCCTTGATAAGGTGCTGCCATCAGCAAGGGCAAGAAGTTGGTCGGTTGACTTGACGCGTCGTGGCGGTTTAGACAACGTATCATAATTTGGGTTTTTCTTTGACTCTGGTGGATCCAGAGGGTAAGGGTTGGGGGTATGGCTTGGGGCTGACTGTGGGTGAGGTATTCGAGGACGGGGGGCATGGGTAGGAAGCGTGCCTCTTCCACCCAGTGTGTAGTCACCACCCCAGGGAAGGTGATGCTGAGAGGAATGAAAGTCAGGACGGGCGTTGTTGGGCCTTCGCTTGGTGGTACAGTAACCTGAATATTCCTCCAATCCTCCTTTTTCTGTAGGCGCAGGAAAACATGTTTGAAGAAATCAGAAAATTGGATGAGAACAGAATACACATTAGGAATTCTCCAATCTTAAAATCTGTTCAATATAATCATGAGTTGATTATTGTACATTACATTTTTATGCAATCAGTGTCATTTTAATATATCAATTCAACAACTTATCAGTTTTTATGTAATGGCAAATTACCAATAAAAGATCTAAATCAGATTTCTGTACAAAACCGATAAGACTTTATCTTAAAATGAAACAAATTTAAAGAGGAAAAATGGGGTTCTAAAATAGTGATGCTCCGATCAGGATTTTTATAGCTGATACCGAGTACCAGGCACGTGCACACATAGGGCTCAACCTGTGCAGTGCGCATGCCCTTTTTAGTCTTGGATAGAAAGTGCCCTTCCAAAATGATCAAAAGTGCCCCCGCGACGCGACACACCCTCAGTCCCGCCCTTCAGTAGGCGCACGACAACACTGATCTTGAGTACGTGCGTTCAACCCCCCCTCCCCCGCTTTACAGTACGCGCGCGACAACCCCCCCACCCGCTCTTCAAAAATATGTATCCTGCACATGCCCTTTGGACGGTCTCTGCACGGGCCTGCCGAGTACCGATACCTTGTTATGGTGATCAGCCGATACAGAGTAACAATTCTAATGCTTCAAGCTTTTTAATGCATAAAGCACCATTTCCCTCTACGTATGATACTTAAAGGGAGATCTCGCCTTTCCTAAGAGAATAAATGAAGAATGTTGCATATACATTTATCACATACATATTAGCCCCCCTGTTTATTTTTTCCCCAATTTGTCTTTAACAAAGAAAATATTTTTTAACACATTTCTAAACATTATAGTTTTAATAACTCATTTCTAATAGCGGATTTATTTTATCTTTGCCATGATGACTGTAAATAATATTGGACTAGATATTTTTCCAAGACTCTTCTACAGGGGTGATAGCGTTCCGGCACCACGCCGGATTTCCGGCGTACTGTGGCAGCAGGTAGGGTTGTGACGGTGAGGAAATTTCCCCACCGGTTAATCGACATGTGACAACACCGGTAATACCGGTAATTTTTTCATTTCCTCTTTTTTTCTGCTTTTAAATAGCTTATAAATGCGTGCGTATAATACTTTCACTTTCAGTTTTGCGGGAGTTGCCAATTCGGTGTCAATTGTTTGAATGGACGGAAAGGAAACTACAAAAAAAATCCCTGTTATTAAACAAAACATAACTTTTATTTACATAACGAATAAAACACAACACTGCTACAGGCTGAAAAAACTGTGTAAGTTGGAACCATACAAATAACAACCATAAACGCCTTGTCATATATTATGAGCTTAGTCCTTATGAACAATCCGTTTATAAAATACATTATTAACGAATTTAGGCTATTGAAGAATAAACCGAATATGAAATATGATCCTTGCATAATGATCACAAATAAGCGAGCACTCATTTTATATTTAAACTATATGAAAAAAAATTAAGAATTGGAACATTATGTAAAAAATCAAAGGACAGGCTAAATAAAAGCGCCTCGTCAGAGCTAATCACCGCACATGTGTCAGTTTACAGCTTCTGGAGAGATCAGACAACCTATACAGATCACACAATCTCAATAAACAACATGTAGGCCTAAATGTAAATATTTCGATAAGTATTGTTATGGAATATTTATAACTAAATGATCTTGCTTTTTGGTTTTATCGATACAGCTTTGATCTCTCTTACAAGCGGCAGTTACAGGCGCAGCATAAGGGCGTCTCACACTGTCAGTGGCGGAATACACACAGCACTGCCAAGACGTTTTATTTTTATTTTATTTGTTGCAGATTTGCGCGTTGTTCCTTTAAAAAAAAAAACTTTTATTTTTTAATTCTCTCAAGTTTAATGTTGTCTATCGAGTAACTGTCGAGTCCCTCGGATTGGAGTTCAGTGCGCATTAAGAATATTGACCAACCGTCCTGGGCTGCGTTTCCCAAAAGCATCGTAAGCCTAAGAAGTTCGTAGAAATGATCGTACGACTGATCTTAATATTACGGTCTGTTTCCCAAAAGCATCGTAACTTAAGTAGCACTTGAAAATCTTAGTGGATCTACGAGTGCTCTGGAGTAATCGTAAAGCCTTAAGTGCATCGTAAGGAGACAGAGTTATGAGGGCACCTGCTGGACAACCGGCAAATTGCACCTACAATTTACTTCTCTTCAAAGTCATTATTCATTTTATTTGTACGTATATCTCTATTCATTTATATTTTCTACACATTACACAATTCAATATACAAATAATAATGAATAAAGAAAAAAATAAAAATTACATAATAAATGTTAGAATGAAAAAAAAAATTACACTGTTGTATATGGACATTTCGAGGGTAGTAGGCTATATTTTTGTCCTATTAGCAAATGCACATCAGGTGGGGATAATTAGGCTAAACTTTTCAAAAATAAATGTAAGAGCTTATTTATTTATTTATTTATTTACTTATTTATTTATTTTGATGTGAGATAAGCAATTTTTGATAAAGAAATTGATAAATAATTCTACTTAATTAAGGTTTCATATAAATATCGAAAATGATGCTGATGTCATTTCCGGCAAGGACTGTTAGAATTAGTTTTATGCGAGATTGGAGCAAGACAGTGTTTTTACAGTACGACATTTCCAGTTAATTTATGTTTTTAAACTGGCTCAAAAATATTTTTTTTATGTTATTCGAGTTGAATATACATTCACACAAGTAGAAGAAGAATTATATGGATTGCTATAACATGTGCAACAATAACGAGCCATTCTATAGCGTGACATTTCAGCACTTAACAAACGGATAGCGACTCCTAAGTTGCACTTAAAGCTGGGCTACGTGTAATTGTGTTAAGTGCATTTTTGGGAAACGCACGTGAAACAATAACGAACGTTCGCAAAATGACTCGTAGAAAACGCTCTTAAGTGCTAAGATCAATCGTTATCGGGAAACGCAGCCCTGTAAGTTTAAACACTACAGGTCCACAGCTCTGGTGTGGTATGAATTACACGTTTTAAATGACAGCGAGACATGCTACGTTTAGTTTTTATTGTAAAATATACATTATAACCCAGTACACGGTAAAATAATATGTTTTGAATGGTTTGTCTATTGACGGCGTATAGCCGTTAATTAAATATGCTGAGCATATTTTCATTAAAATTAAAACACATTAATACAAATTAGCCACCCTTTGATTTTTTTTCGTTTACGTATATTTTTATCAAACGAAAAATGCTATGAATTGTTAATTTTAGTTTTCATTTTATTAGAATTAATAGGCCTATAATTTATAGGCTACACAACTCATATCTTTGGCTCCAATTGCGTTTTTACAGATATCCTACCAATAGACTTTTTTTTGGCTCAAAGACATTTATGCCTATTAATTTCAGAGGTGCATTTTGACAGATTTCGTAAAGGCTTCAGCTATTCTACCTGTCAGCTGCACCTGCCTAAGTTTTGCAACTTGACTTGTGTTGTGGCTCGATGTCTGAATGAGAGAGAGAGAGAGAGAGGGAGAGAGAGAGAGAGAGAGAGAGAGAGAGAGAGAGAGAGAGAGAGAGAGAGAGAAATCAGTCCTCAGATTCGATGTGTGGCCGCACATCTCAGTTACTTTATTTCAATTTTTAATATTGGCTCATCTAAATAAACTTTTCATATATTAAAAGCCGAAATATTGCCAGACAGAAGAAGCAACTTTCGGTTTTTGAAGAGAGCGGCCTCAGTTATAAAATATGTGCGCACACACAGGATTCCATCTTTTTGGCCTAGACATTATGGATTTTTTTGACATTAAACACATAATCAAGTGGAAATAAGAACAGCTGAACTTCGGAAAAAGTCCTCACGTTGCCGATGTTTCTCTGCAGATGGATTGTCAAAGGCGCGGCATTGCTAAATCGTTTTAATAAAAAAAAGATATTTATTATTAAACATTGTGAGATGATGGTCGCGTGATTTTTTTTTAAATGAGAGTATGCGTTGCGTATTTATGGCCATAGATCTATCCGCGACCCACCAATAGTTAAACATGAAGGTGCGTGTATAAATTAGTTATGTTTCCAGATACTGCCACCTTTGTCAGGCAAAGTTTGCAGATTGCCTCATTAACGTCATCAGGTTCTCTTATGCATTTGGTTTGAACCCAAAATTTTGCCAAACATGCGCTTTTGCATTGCGTTTTAACAATAAATCGTCCGCCATCCTCTTTCTGTAAATTCGACTCCTCTTTTCTCCTCACGTGGTAAATGAAATATGACGCACTGTAGCTATGTTTTGATTTTAATTATAGAGCATGCTCTCGTTTTAAGTCAATTATTTATAATTATATTTTCCATTTATTTTAAATAAATGTTTAATAAAAAAAAAATAAAAAAACGAATACTTAAAAAAAAAACAAATGTGGGGACGGTGTCACGGTAGAAAAGTGATGTCACCGGTGTTGCGTCTTAACACCGATATCACCGTCAACATCGTCTATCGTGGCAAGCCTAGCTGCGGGGAAAAAAAATCAGGTTCACGGATATTGATCTGTCATTTCTCTAGATTCACAGAATTCACTCAATGCTTAAAGCGCCGGATTGGTTTTTATTAAGTGCCATTTTGTGTGCTCGTGAATCATCTTTTGAGTGTAGACGCCATGTAAATAAAAGATTAATTGTGTAATTTAGAGAGCTTTATAAATTATAACGGATCTTTGTGAGATCTCTATGAACTAAGATTAGTGACGCTTTTTAGTGATAATAAGAGGAGCGTGCTTTGCACTTTCCAGGCTATAATCCATTCAGAATTTGTATGAAACTTTCGTTTTCGGCACATATACGCTGATATGTTTTGGGAATGACATCTGCATATTTACGCTGGGTTTATTCTCGAAATAACGGTGAAGCAATAGACGGGACAAAAATATATTTTCCCCTTCTCCTTAAACAACTTAGTGTTTCAGCTATGAAATAGTTCAGTTTTGTATGTAGCCTAATGGCAAAGTGTTTATATTTAGTTTCGTTTTTTATTCAGCTTATTTAGAAAAACGTTTGGAGAATTTTTTATTCGTTAAAATTTTTTTTTTTAACGAACAGCGCCCAGCGGAAGACCATCATTGTCTGTTTGATCAGTTTGCCTTCTCAGATCATCACGACTTGCCTAAAATAAAAGATATAAAACAGTTCAAGTATAAAACAATGGTAGCTTAAACGTTAAAGAATGTGTGCTATTAGGCGCATAGTTTGCTTATAAAAAGCTTGCAGGACATCGAGGCGCCAGAGCAATCACTTGCATTTTTTCAGTGGGAGCAATTTAAAGTTATCCGTCATTTTTGCTCACAAAGTACGAGTAATACATCAAAAAACGTTACAGCGTTTTTATAAAATAAAGAAAACCAAAATTATGCACTTTCTGTCGTCTGGTTTTTGAACAGGAGCGCTTAACAAAATGAAGCAAAATGTATATGCCTCACAGACATAATAAATATATTTATAGAAAGCTTTAAATTATTACTTAACGAAATAAAACAAATCGAAAACAAAAAAAACTCCTTCATGTAATCCGTAAAGATGAATTTCTCTCTAAAGGCGAGTCCAAGAGGAGATTGTCAGGATCTTTGCGACACTGACTCAGAATAAGTTTATTAATAAATAATTAAGATATGTCCTTAATCTTTCCTCGACACATTCATTGTTATTTGTTTTTGCCGGTGATTGGGGCGAGTTTTAGCTTATTGTGTGCGCTTGAACGCGGATTCAAAGTAGCAGTTTTAACATGGAGTGACACGACCTCTGACGTACAGTTGACACTGGCACATGCCACTGAGTGTAGTGACACTTCCGGTGGCACGTCCGGTTTTCCACTGTCATGAGTCACTCGCTAGTGGCATGTGTAGTGACCTGTGTCACTCAGAGTGTCGCGCTGCATGTCACTGCAGTGACATCGACACCTGGCGAAGCTTATGACATTAATTAACACGAGCAAAACCATATTTAATCATTACGCGACTTTTAACCTAATTTATCGCGTCGCAAGTTAGTTTATTTGCTGAGCTACTCCACGATGTTTTAATTTAAACGCATTTATTTTATGTATTCGTAGTCATACTTCCGTACGTAATATAGTCATTTGACAGTACATGTCAGTCAAATTTATTGTGGCATGCTTATATATGGGAGGGGTTACACTTATCTGTTGTACTGTATATTATTGCATCCTGGCAGTTCTTTTGTTCCCTACTATATGGACTTCTCTATGTTTAATTCATTCATTTATTTTATTATTTAACTTATTTTCATTTTAAGGTATTTTAAATAATATCCTTTAAAAAGTTATAATAAAATGCATGTTGAAAACTCATAACATATATGCATGTAAGATAACAGGAGTCTTTTGCCTAATGATTTTTAAAGCAAAGAGACTTATAAGATTAATGTGCTTATAACGTGCTTATACTGACACCTACTGGCACATGTCACAAGATCACTGACACTGGCATGTGTCACTGACATTACTGGCATGTGTCTAAAAAGAGCCACTTGACAATAATGATAATCAGGGTTACACATAGGCTGTTAATATATTTGGGCCCAGGGGCCCACAAGTTATGTGTTAAAAGTGCGTTGCATACATAGTACCCCCACCCCTACTCACCTCAGGGGCAAGGAAAAAAAGTTCAGGCTCAGGATTTTTTTCCACTATCAGCCCTGCTTCTATACAGCAAGTTATTGTTTAATGGTGGTTTGTTCTGCAGACTATTGAAAAAAAAAAACAATTAGCTTAAAGGGGCTAATAATTGTGACCTTAAAATGTTTTTAAAAAAATAAAAAACTGCTTTTATTCTAACCTAAATAAAACAAAAGACTTTCTCCAGAAGAAAAATTATTATCAGACATACTCTTAAAAAATGTCCTTGCTCTGTTAAACATCATTTGGGAAATATTTAATTAAATTCAATTCTTCTTTATTTGTATAGCGCTTTTACAATGTAGATTGTGTCAAAGCAGCTTCACATAGAATATTATAGTGAATTGAAACAGTGTTAGTTCAGTTTTCAGAGTTTAAGTTCAGTTTAGTTTAGTTCAGTTCAGTGTGTTTTAATATTTACTGATGAGAGTCCAAACACTGAAGAGTAATCCATTGATGGGCAGCTCTGCAAGTCTCAAACTATGCAGTCAGAGGCCAAGTCTTTTTTAGGTCAAATATGTGGTATACTTTTTTTTGGTTGTGTTTTTGACTCACACATAAAAATCAAACCTTCACCACAACCAGCTGCTTAGCACATATACATTCCTCAACCTTTATGTCCCAGGATTATTGCGTAAAGCCTGATTTCATTAATTTAACAATATTAATCCAATCCTATTTCATCTGAACCCAGAATTATTTCATCTTTCAGCTGATTAACTCTGAGTCATCATATCAGCCTGTATAACCTTCGCCTGTGCAGAACTTTCTTGTCCTCCAACTGTAACTCACACTTCCCAGGAGGTTTGATGTCTAGCTGAGAGAAAGGCCTTAAGGCTGTATGCGTCTGTGCAAGATTGCGGGCGCTTTGCAATGGTTTGCCCTCATTAAAATGACCTTAGCAAACATTTATATCTCCCAAGTGTACCAGTGAAACACTCACACTGTTTAAATAAAAAAATAAAATAAAATAAATCATTTTTACGCAATGTTCTGAACCCTGCAAGAGACTATGTCCTCATCACAGAACAGGTAATTTCTTTTTTAAAACACAACTGTACTAAATGTCACACTGCTTTTGATATCTGTCCATTTTTCCTCCTTATTGCTCATAAATTTGAATTATTCTTTGAAATGACGAAGGCTAAAATTAGAAAGCAATCATGCCAAGCTTTTATGTTATTCTTACAAAACATGCTTTTCTCAAGATAAGAATCTTCCTCTCCACAGGTAATAAAGCACTTACCGAGACGCTTGAGAGACGAGTATCTGTTGATTTCAGGCTTCATGGCGGCTTCGTACGAGGGCGGCAGCTGAGCCAGGTTATGTAGGGATTGATGGAAGGACGGCTGGGGCTTCATGGCGTTAGTATGCTTACTGGGCTTCAGTGTGCCACCCATGGCCAGCTGCATGTTGTTCATACGTGGTGCACGCTCTTTAAAGACACATCAAATGAATTCTGGTTATTTCAAACTACTTCTACATTGTAAGTAAGACCCATTTTACTCATTATTAACATATTTTGGTTGATGGGATCACAAGTAGATTTCTGTTTCCATCTGGGGTTTTAATCCGTCTCCTTTGCGCACTTTTGACCACTTTCTGAGGAGATGGTCTATGTATGGACATTTTCTGATCTTTCAATCTAGTGTTGCGAAATTTACAAATGAATGGAGAAAACACAGCAGAAAATGCAGAGTGGATCAGCTTTCATTTCTGCTTTGACGGCCACAAAACTATGCCAGATGGTTTTTTTTATCCATTAATACTTTTGAGGAGAACATTTGCTTTAACATTTTTCACCTATAAACAAAACTTAAAAATGTATTTCCCATCTGGATAACATCAGGGTCAAATCTGTCCTGACCGCAGAGTATATCTGTTGTAAGGGAGCAATTCTAGTGCGTTTAATATCTTACAACTAGCACTACTTGAACACACCTACTCACTGTCTCGCTGACAATTCCTTTATCCAGTACAGCGCCATTGGATTAGAGCACTGTCAATTTCTCAGATCAAACACAGTAGAAGCTGCAGACCACCAAGTAATATATTATAATAATAGGCCTATAAATATTGAAATACGTTATGCATGTTGAAAGCTCCAGTTCGTTCTTAATTATTCAACATGCACCAGGACATCTTAAAATAAAAACTGTGGTTAGCTTTTTTTTCTGTTGTTCAAAAGAATAAAGGCACACTAGCTATGTTTTCATCCACAGATGTAAATAAAATATATGTGCAAAACTGAAATATAGCATAAAAGACATGCGAATAAAGCAGCGTTTCCATCCAATGAGTCAAAGTGAACAATATCACCGCTTCCTGATTACCTGGCAGCAAAAATCAAAAGTAAAAAACTTAATAAATGACTTGCGCCTTAGAAGACAATGCTGACGAGCAATGAACATGGTGGTGTTTGAAGGCATGAGACGCTGAGCACAGATGCTCTTGACAGTTCTGGAGGTAAAAAGTAATTTAACCTCCGGAGACCCTGACTTGTGTCCTCTGTAGTGGACATTAGGTTTTCATGAATTTTCTTAGAATTTTTTTGAGCTGCTCTGTCAAGTCCTGTTGTACTGTTCAGAGGACATCTTGGGCTTTCTAGTGATATGTCATTTGATTGGCTGGCATGCTAGGAACCACTTCTTACACCACATCCAACATGGCCGACATACAAAAAAGCACATTTTATGGTAAGGAGAGAGGTATGTAAAATTTAGCTTTTCAAAAAATTTTTTTTATTGTTATTACATGTGTTTATTAAAGTGTCAGGAGCAATACATTTAGCTTTCAAAGCTGTTAACTTGTTTGTGTTTTAAACTAGCATCCTTTTTTAAATGTCCACTATAGTGGACACCAGGACCATCTTAATGTAATTAATGATTGCATGTTGTAGGAGGCAGAACTGAAGCAGAGAGGAATCTTTATAGGATAGTTGAGGGAGACTCTGATTTTGAGCCTAACAATCAGACAATTAGAGAATTAGAGACAAAGAATGACAATCAGTTTTAAATTGCTTTTATGTAAAATTTGTTTTGGATTAAACATCACTTCTTGTTCGGCTCTCTTTCAGACAAAACTGTTTCAGGAATTTCAATACAAAAGGCAAAAATGGCTTGTGTTTAGTTTTTATTACATTAATATTGGATTCATATTCCTTTACAGCCATATCCTGTACAGGTTTGTTGTCTGAGTGGCGGTCGTTTCGAACTAAAATGGACATGCTGTAAAATTAAAAATAAAAACAAATTGTAAAAACTCTAAATTGTAGATTTGTTTTTTAACCCAAAGGATGTTGGAAATCACAGAAGAAAAAAAAATACAAAAATTCTTTGGGTCTCAGGGGGATAATAACACTAATACTGAAATGGTTAAGGCGTTTTAGAATGACCAAAACAACATTTCAGACGCTTTACAATGTGCTCAGCCTGCTGGTTTATCCATTCACACACATTTCTACCATCACAAGATACATCCTATGACATCATCATCATTCATAAACCCATTGGGATGTATCTGCAATGAGTAATGACATTTGCAGGCTTAAAACGATTACAATGTGACATCACACTGAGATTTTTTCAAAGGCACTCTTATAACAAAATAATGACTTTAATGCGCATACTGGAGTTTCTTATAGGGAAAAGTGGTTCCGTCGTAGTTTATGCGCATCTTTTCTTATGGAATAAGAAAATCCACATAAAATAGGTGGATGGAAACATAGCCATTGACTTTTCCAAATAGGTAAGCTAAAACGTGGTGTTTTAATAACGGTTTTACACTTTTAACATCTAGAATGGTAAACATGTATTGAATACAGACAGTTTATGCATGGTAGTCTTACATATTTCTGTTTTAGTTTGCAATGTTTAAGAACAGCATCACGTTTAAATGATTTTGTCATCTGAGAATAAGCTTATTAAATATTTAAAAATGCCTTTTTCCCATGGGGCCTTTTAACTGGTTCTTGGGAGGGCCAAGAACCAGTGAAAGGGCCACATGGGAAAAAGCATTTATGAAAGCTGTGCCACCCCATTAAAAAATCATAGCATCTGGCTAGCGTGCTTTAAAAACATGTCACATAATGTTGAAGGATTACGTCATTTGTGGCTGTTTGTAGACATTTAACCACAGGAGCATTTACACTAAAGCCATCCAATCTAACTACCTCTGAAAGTGGTAGAATGTGGACAATCGCAAAATGTTCCAGACCCCATTTACACCTGTTTTTAGAGTCAATTCGTGATCATCTCCATATCTCAATACCAGGTGTAAAAAAGGTTTAAAACTGTGGGTTTTACCTACCGATTGTGGCAGTGTGTTTGGGACTGGAGCCTGTGGTGTGGATGAAGTTATGCTGCAGATTCCCCACTGTTAAGCAGAACATAAGGTGTGTTTTTAAAGGATATCTTTAAGGATATTTTAAATGTAGTGAATTAACAAAGTAAATGCATTCCATCTTCTACTACAAATGTTGCCCTGTTAAGCTCTTTCTGTGCTGAGAATTTTACACCGTCTGTTCATTCTAATGCCATCATATACAGCTCCGTGCTAAATAATTCACAAATGCCCTGTCATCATTTGGCTATTGCTTCTTCTCCGTGTTTCTTTCTTGTCCTGAATTTATACAGTTCACAAGACTAAAGCTGAGATGGGAACATGAAAGGATCTCTGTATGACAGAGGGATCCTCCAGCTGCAACCAGGTGCATGAACATTATTTCAGATTCATAAGATCATTCAATATAGATGAGTATTTGACTTGTGACACTAAACGGTCCCATATGATGAATTAAATTAAATATTTACATTAAATTAGCTTACAAACATACATTAGATGACACATCATAATTCTAAATATGCTTGTCTCATCTTACTCTTATATAGACCGTAGTGAATGTATATGGAGATAATGCGAGTTTCCAACTTACGTCGGTTATCTTTCTGTAGTGTGGGATAGAGATTTTTCGGGGGTCGTCCAAGCGTCCCTTCTCCTCCTCCAGTTCCCAAAGCTACACTGTTGTTTCTCTCTCCTTCCTGTACTGGACTCGACTGGTGACGCAACATTTCCACAAGAGCCCTGCAGGGTAGTATGTAAACATTAGTCAAGAGAATAGAATCTAAAAAGTGTTAGTTCACCTAAAAAAGAAAATCACTTCTCACTATTTTATTATTCACTGACATGTCATTCCAAAGCCTTAAGAAATGTATTCATCTTTGAAACACACATGAAGATTTTGAATTAAATCTGAGAGATTTCCGTCCCTCCATTGAAACTTCATTCACCATTCATAAAGAGATAAACAAAAATACTTCCATTTGAATTGGGAGGTTAACCCAAGTCTTCTGATGAACAGAATTTATTTGCAGTTTTATTCGCATATAAACTTGAACTAAAGCAATTCATTCTTGTCACAAATAACGAGCTTCTGCAAGAATCTGTGCAGCTTTTTTCCCTTTACTTTCTTTAAATTAGCCAATAGCTGGGACAGAGTACATAAGGTTTAGAGCAGTGTGTAAAATATACATACTATACTGTTATATGTATTATATATATTAAGGATGCTTAGATCGATTGGCCAAAGATCGGTATCAGCTTATAATCATATTTTTTGACTCGATCGGTACTCACCAATCTGGCCGATCTCATATAAAGATTGCAGTGGTTTGTTTACGGCTTTACGCACAGAGGAAGATGCGTTCTGTGTTTTGACAATATTGCAAGATGACTAAACCCTGATAGAAAATTTTAATGATTTATATAAAACATTTTTTTAAAAACTTGAATATTTAATAATACACCTTTTTTATATACTTTTTCCCATAAACAAATATGTATTCATATAGGTGTGCATTTCAATGTCTTATGCATCAAATATACACTCCAAACTTTTTCTTCATAGAAACATGTTGAATTCTTTCCTCATTTGCAATGTTTCTAAACTCCATCGTCAGTCATTTTTCTAACCAATGTTTTTATCCGTTTTATCTATTATTTTCTGTAAAGCTGCTTCTGACCATGCAACACAATCTCATGACAGTTCGTAACATTTTGTTTTAGTGGCTAATTCGTATGAATTTGTATGATCTAACGCGCACAATTTAGTACGATTTGCTCATCCCCCAATGACGGTTGGGTTTAGGGGTGGGGTTAGGTTCCACGCCTCCTTTTTAAAATCGTTCAATTTCGTACGACTGAACTCATACGAATTAGCCACTAAACTGGCAAAACGTAAAATACTTATATTTTCTCGGCAGATCAGGCTGGACCATGACATGTCAACACTAAATGGTTATAAGAGACGTGTTTAAGGGATTATATGCAACATTCTTCATTTATTGTCTTAAGTAAGACAAAATCTCCATTAAGTATCATACTTAGAGGGGAAAATGTGCTTTATGCATTATAAAGCTTAAAGCATCAGAATCAGTACTCTATCAGCCGATCACTATGACAAGGAATCGGAGCATTCCTAATATATATATATATATGTCAGAATTATTAGCCCCCCTAAATTATTAGACCGCTTGTTTATTTTTTCCACAATTTCTGTTTAACCGAGAGAATATTTTTTCAACACATTTCTAAACATAATAATTTTAATAGCTCATTTCTAATAACCGATTTATTTTATCTTTACCATGATGTCTGTAAATAATATTTTACTAGATATTTTTCAAGACACTTCTATACAGCTTAAAGTGACATTTAAAGGCTCAACTAGTTTAATAAAGTTAACTAGGCAGGTTAGGGTAATTAGGCAAGTTATTGTATAATGATGGGTTGTTCTGTAGATTATCAAGAAAAAATATAGTTGAAAGGGGCTAATAATTTTGTCCCTAAAATGGTTCATAAAAAAATCATAACTGCTTTTATTCTAGCCGAAATAAAACAAATAAGACTTTGTCCAGAAGAAAAAATATTATCAGACATACTGTGAAAATGTCCTTGCTCTGTTAAACATCATTTGGAAAATATTTAAAAAAGAAGAAAAAAAATCGAAGGGGGCTAATAATTCAAGCATAGCCTGGTGGACATGATTATGCATCCACTATGGTATGAACCAGCATAGGGTTGGTAAAATATATATTTATATTATGTAATATTTTAATTATTAATGTTATTTAGGATACAGATTAAAGTATTTTGAACTAATTCCACAATTTAATCAATTCCAATTTAAACCACATTTCTTGTTTTAACATCACTAAGGCAGCCAATTTAAATGTCATCTGACGATTAAATGGGCACTCTCAGTGGTTATCGGCTGATAGATATCGGCCAGTATGGGCCTTCTGCGCCTACTGGTAGGCTCAGATGGCTGTTATCATTCATCCACATAATTAATCAACTATATTTATTTAATTTCCCATTAATTTTATTTGATTAACCCTACCTAAAACCAAATCCAACTATCAGAGTAATGTAAAAACTGAAGTCTTCTCTATAAGTATAGCTGATTAACTATGTGGATGGATAATAGCAGCATTCTAAGCCTACTAGTAGGCGCAGAAGGCCCCTACTGGTCCATATCTATTAGCTGATAACCACTGAGGACGGCCATTCATTCATTCATTCATTCATTCATTTTCCTTTTGGCTTAGTCTCTTTATTAATCTAAATCTCTATTAATCTAAATGTGAGAAGAACATGCAAACTCCACACAGAAATGCCAACTGGCCCAACCAAGGCTCAAACCAGCGACCTTCTTGCTGTGAGACGACAGCACTGCGTACTGCGCCGCCACGTCATCAATCGGCTATTTAATCAGGTGATAACATTCAGAGCGGGTGACTAAGGTGCCACCAGGGTAGTCAACCACCCTGTAATTTTTAATTTGGGTCCTGGAGATTAGGAGGTGCCAGGAACAAGTTTTTTTTTTTTCTCTCTAATTACACATCTTTACCACAATGTGATAATTTTTTTTTTGTGGTCAACTATCCCTTTTTTGATGAAACATCTCACCTGGGCATGTTCAGTTCCCTGTTCCTGGGCTGCCGTGATGCCTTGTGAAACGCCACCTTAATGGCAACCGCCACCGCTACTGTAAACGATATGACTCCACCAATGACGTACACGGTGTTGTTGCTCTGTTCGATGCGGCTCTGGTCAGGCAGGCCTGGTGCTGGGGACCTGGTCACAGGGGGCGCTGTATTGGCCCACACCGGGGATTGGTAGTTGTGGCAGATGCTCTGGTCCAGCCTTCGGGAGCGGTCGGGACAGCAGAATCGATAATGGCAGGTCCCACAGCAGTAGATGAAGTCGTCCTTGGAGCAGTTAAAGGTGAGGTCATACTGCCCCATGACATCATAATAACCTCGACACACGTCCACTTCCACCAGCTTGCGAGGAGGCGGAGCTACCTGAGCCGCTCCAAAAGGGGCCTTCAGTTTATCAGTCGTTACATTCTTTGGCAGCATTATTTGAGGCAGCGGCCTGAGGGGCATTTCTGCCACTCCAGCTGGCTGCTTTGGCCGACGATTCATGGACTTCCCTCGCATGCTCCCGCCGTTTTTAGCAAGGGGGTACATAAAGCTCCTGCCCTGAGATCTTGGGTTGGGAGTCGGGGTGATAGTGATGGGCCCATTTCTGGAGGGGCCCGGGACGCTCGCAGCGGAAGCGTTAAGTGGGACAGCGATTAGCAGGAAGAGAATGATGACACGGACTCGAGCTTCCAAGGTGGGCATCATCTTTACATGACTAACACTGCTATTTTTTCACGCTGACTCAACCCACCGCACAATGCCGAATTTTGTAAAAGCAGCTTGCTCAGCGCTGTCAAATAATCTTGTAGCAGCCCTCCGACGTATGAAATCTGAGTCTATATTAAAACAGTCTCGAAAGTGAAATCTGTTTACAAAGTCTGCTAAAGTGAACGGTCGCACTCTGAGATGGCGAGAGAGAGAGAGAGAGAGGGGGGGGAATAACTATCTTGATGTGCTTTCAGCTTCAAGGTGAGTTATACAACACATATTTTCTCAACATGCAGCGCTTGTGTCCAGAATACAGCTGGAAAACCTGAACAATACGTTAAACAATCCAAAAGCTGACAATGCAGGCAACATACAATTGTGTAAACAGGAAATTAAAAAAACTGTCAGATATTAACAAGGCAAATGTTCCCTTTTGTGGCTTCCTTCAAAAATAGACATTTTCATAGCAAGTGACAAACAAAATGGCTTCTCGTTTCTGTCCGATTATTTCAATATCCTGTGTTTTCACGGACACATCAAGGCAATTAAGTTGTACAGCTGTGTACATTAAAAGTATTCAGGTTTAACTCTTTGTTTTGGCACTTATCAGGATGAAAGATTCGTCTAAGAGATAGGGGCAACTGTAAACATCATTAAAAATGTAAACTAATGTTTTGCTAACATATATTTTTTGTTGTATTTGGGCACTCCTTACATTCAGCAATGGCACTTAGTCTTTAAGCAGATTTCCCTGACCTGTGATGCTCCCTGAAAGTTACTATTATTAACTAGTATAAACAACGTCCATACACTTGGTGAAAAAGAAATCGAGCTAATCTCGTTTACGTGTTAACAGGACTACTCAGGACGGCGGACTCCTGTAAGGGTTTGAGGGTGGTGTGATGAGGAATCATTTTGATTTCGTTCAGCATCCTGGTCTTATAAACCTCTACATTACTGAACCAATGTGAATGTGCATTTCCTCATTCGGCATGGGAAGAATTACCAAGATAATTCTGTGTGCAAATTTACAATAGGAATCAAGTGTGAATTGATCCGTCTGTCATGTTGAATAAAAACAAAAGTATGCCCTACCTATGCAGATTTTAGACGTCTATTAAAGAGTGTTCAATAAAGTTGTGACAGACATACGCAAAAAATTAAATGGCAGTAAAGACGTACAACGTTTTCAAGGCTGATTGTCTTCACAATAAAGAAGGACGTGTGTAAACCTGCCAGTCTCTTTCCAGTTTCTTAAGATTCACGCAGAAGATTAGCTTTAAAGATAAGCCCACTTTTCATTGAAATGATGAAACATTTGAAACCATTTGCTGGAGCTCTTGGAGAAATGCTTTAAAGTCCCATGGTGTGGACATGGCTGTTTCCTCTGGTTTTTTGCAGGGTTGATCTTGAAATCTGTTGGCGGTTATGAAGTGGTCGGTTGTCAAGCGATGTGTCTCTGAAATGAAATCAACACACTGATGTTACTGCCTACATACACACACAGAGAGAGAGAGAGAGAGACATCTGTGAAAGTTTTTGAAAGATCATAGTTAGCTTGTCATCTGCATGGCAGCCTATTATTTTCATTGCGACACATATGGCATGTGATGTGACAGACAAATAAGGTATGCAGCAACTAATGCGATCAATATAGAATTCAGCACAAAAGAGATTTTTTATGGGGTACGACTGCATGTTTAAACACATTAAAGCTACAGCAAGAATATATTTCAGTTCAAAGAAACTATGCCAGAATCAGAAATATTAGTGTATGAACACATTAAATATGCATATCTGCAAAAAAGCAATCATTCCGTTTTAACAATGTTCAAAATCAATAAGAGTTGCTAAAAAGTATGTGGCAACACTGCAAAATAAATGCAACAAATATACCAACTTATAAATCAACATCTTAAAATTAGCTTATGGCCTAAATGTGATGTGCATTCCAATAAACACCAGCAAAACTCGCCGTTACAGTTAAATAAATACCCACACGTGCCCTGAGGACCATATTAGCTCTGGTTCTTTAATTCATACTGAATCAGAATGGAACATTGAATCTGTGAGATTTCAGTACGGCTACAGTCGCATCTGTTCAGACTTACAAATTCTGAAAAACATTCCTTGCTATTCTTGAAATATTTTAAAAGATTAATTGAAAATAAAAATTTTTAAAAGAATGATTCATCACTAATCAGACTATTCACACTGTTTCAGAGTACAAAGTTATTTATTTATGACAATATACACTCACCGGTAGCTGCTTGTTAACGCAAATTTCTAATCAGCCAATCACATGGCAGCGACTCAATGCATTTAGGCATGTAGACATGGTCAAGACGATCTGCTGCAGTTCAAACCGAGCATCAGAATGGGGTTAGAAATGTGATTTAAGACTGCTGGAGGACCACCAGCACTGCATGTTTTGGATGTCTCCTTTGTCTTTCATACCTATTACAGGTCTTTCGGTCTCTGCTAATGAGCTGATGATCTGAATCAGGTGCGTTTGGTTAAGAGACATGGAAATATGCAGAGCTGATGGTCCTCCATGAACGTGGTTGAGAAACACTGATTTAGGAGGCTTTGAATGTGGTATGGTTGTTGGTGCTAGACGGCCTGGTCTGAGTATTTCAGAAACTGCTGATCTACTGGGATTTTCACGCACAATTATCTCTAGGATTTACAGAGAATGGTCAAAAAAAGAGAAAATATCCTGTGAGCGGCAGTTCTGTGGGCACAAATGCCTTGTTGATGTCAGAGGAGAATGGCCAGACTGGTTTGAGCTGATAGAAAGGCAACAGTAATTCAAATAACCACTCGCTACAATAAAGGTCTGCAGAAGAGCATCTCTGAACACGTCCAACCTTGAGGCGGATGGGCTACAGCAACAGAAGACCACACCGGGTGCCACTCCAGACAGCTAAGAACAGGAAACTGAAGCTACGATTCACACAGGCTCACCAAAATTGGACAATAGAAGATTGGAAAAGTGTTGCCTGCTCCGATGAGTCCCGATTTCTGCTGCGACATTTGGATGGTAGGGTCAGAATTTGGCATGAACATAAGAAAGCATGCATCCATCCTGCCTTGTATCAACGGTTCAGGCTGGTGGTGGTGGTGTAATGGTGTGGGAGATGTTTTCTTGGCACTCTTTGGGCCCATTGGTTCCAACTGAGCACCGTGTCAACACCACAGCCCACCTGTGTTTTGTTGCTGACCACGTCCATCTCTTTATGTCCACAGTGTAACCATCTTCTGATGAATACTTCCAGCAGGATAATGCACTATGTCATAAAGCGCAAATCATGTCAGACTGGTTTCTTGAACATGACAATGAGTTCACTGTACTTAAATGGCCCCCACAGTCACCAGAACTCAATCTAAAAGAGCACCTTTGAGATGTGTTAGAACGGGAGATTCACATCAAAGATGTGAATCCAACAAATCTGCAGCAACTGCGTGATGCTATCATGAAAATATAAACCAAAATCTCTGAGGAATATTTCCAGTACATTGTTGAATATATGCCATTAAGGATTAAGGCAGTTCTGAAGGCAAAAGTGGGTCCAACCCAGTACTAGCGGGTGTACCTAATAAAGTGACCGGTGTGTGTAGTTATAATCAATATTTTTATGCACTAAAATGTAGTGAGGTTACAGTTAAAAAATAAATGTAACATTATCTACATTATTACTGAGCAAAATTAAGATTAAATTTAATATTTATCCCTCAAGATCTGTGCTTACAAGGATATGTTCACCCCAAAATGCAAATGTGCTATTAATTTCTACCCTCAGGCAATTTAAGATTTAGGTGACTTTTTCTCTTCTGTAATATTTAAAAAGGAGTTTGAGCTGAAACTGCGCTCCTTGGTATATCAAAAGTCAGTGATTATCAGTACTTTGAGAGCCAGAAATAGAGTTTAAACTAAATAAATACCTTGGCCTCCTGAAATTGTCTTATGAAATGTAACGATTGGTCTGTGCTGAACAAACTGAGCATTAGTTACAACATTACACCTTGGGTGCAGATATATCTACCAGAAAATCAGATTTGCTTTGGTGTACATCATATGGATAATTAAATATAACAAATAAAAATGAATAAAAAATTTATATTTGATCTTATTAATTTAAAATAGTATTATTGCACATTCTTCCGTTATTTATTAAAATAATACAATACTAATATTTACATCATTGTTAGTTTTCCTCAAAAAATATTCAAATTGTAATAATTTTTAATACTTACTAGCAATGCTTTGCCAGTTTTAGCAATGTTCAAAATCAATAAGAGTTACTAAAAAGTATGTGGTAACACTGCAAAATAAATGAGATAAATATACCAACTCATAAGTCAAAATCTTAAAATTAGCTTATGGCCTAAATGTGATGTGCATTCCAATAAACAGCAGCAAAACTCGCCGTTACAGTTAAATAAATACCCACACATGCCCTGAGGACCATATTAGCTCTGGTTTTTTGATTCATACTGAATCAGAATGGAACATTGAATCTGTGAGGTTTCAGTACGGCTACAGTCGCGTCTGTTCAGACTCACAAATTCTGAAAAACCTTCTATGCTATTCCAGAAATAGTTTAAAAGATTAACTGAAAAGTAAAATATAATTGAAATGAATTATTCATCACTAATTAGACTATTCACACTGTGATCCAGAGTACAAAGTTATTTATGACAATATACACTCACCGGCCACTTTATTAGGTACAATCCTAATGCTTGTTAACGCTAATTCCTAATCAGCCAATCATATGGCAGCAACTCAATGGAATTAAGCATGCAGACGTGGTCAAGACGATCTGCTGCAGTTCAAACCGTGCATCAAAATGGGGAAGAAGGGTGATTTAAGAGACTTGAGTAAACACGAGTAAATAAACTGTGGCTATATTCACTTTGCCCTGAAACTGACAGCACAACGCCTGAAAGTTTCCTATTTATTTAGATGAACATCTTACACAGGATTACAGTTAATCTAGCTACAACAGTGATGTGCATTAGCAGCGTCCAACTATGTCGGTATGCAAATGAGCTTGTTCATAACAGTCTGGAGCACAATCTTCTTCTTGCATAATGACGAGCCAACAGAGGCTCATTGGAAATACAGGCTTTAGCCTACTACATTGTCAAACTGCAAGAACAGTATGGTGCCAAAAACCTTTGTTTCTTCACTGATAATATTTACAGGGAAATATTATAAGTGATTAAAGCATTTTCTTCATGCATTTCTTTGCACAATACTTAATAAATACCACCAAACATTTGAACAATGTCCATAAATTGTGATTGAATACATTTCCCTCACATATCTATCTCCATATAGATAACTTTCAAGAAGTGTTTATACGATGTTGTCCTCGTGATGCAGAATGCTTGGATTCAAGTCTGGTGAGATAAAAGCAATGTATAATCAAGGTAAAACCATTTTGTCGCAGAGCACTTTTATCTTATGTTTGCTTTTAAAAACACTACTGGTTGGGTTTAGTTCAGTAGTTCATTAGATGATCTGTAGGACAAGCCGCACCCTCTTGTGGATGTGTACAGGACATGTTTGTGAAACCTATAACAATATGTAACCTAAGTAACGTATTTCAGATTTGGAAAATTCTACACAGTGCCCTCTAGTAGATTTGTCATCTGGAATGTGCAACAAATTGTACCTGGTGCAACGTATTTTCGCAAAACTGTAGGCTGAGACATTTATTTTCAATGAGACTGGGTTGTTTTGAGCCGACAAACTCGCGCATGAGCTGATGCCACTCGTTTTATTTCAGAAAACTATCATCTAAACTATCATCTAACTATACTAATTAAAACTGAAAAGTGCTGCAAGTTGTTGACTTACATTTTATAAATCACCAAGGAACTAGTTTCAGCTAAAAACCTTCAGGGTTCTTCTTACACATATTTCAAAGTCAAATTTAAGCACTTTTCAAGCACTTTCCAGGTGCATTTTCAAACTTTTACAGCATTTTAAAATTGTGTGGTAAATTACATATTTACATACAAATAGATGCTTCTTCATCAGGCACATGCACAAATAGGGCTCAACCTGTGTAGTGCACATGCCCTTTTTAGTCTTGGATAGAAAGTGCCCTTCCAAAATGATCAAAAGTGCCCTCGCGACGCGACACACCCTCCGTCCCGCCCTTCAGTAGGCGCACGACAACACCGCTCTTGAGTACGCGCGCGACAACACAGCTGATCAGAACGCGCGCGACAACACAGCTGATCAGAACGCGCGCAACAACACCGCTCTTCAGTATGCGTGCGACAACACCCAACAACCCCCCCCCACCCCCCCACCACCACCTACCCCCTCTCTACAAAATTTTTATCCTGCACATGCCCTTTGCACGGTCTCTGCACGGGCCTGTTCTTCATCACAATAAGTCAGATGCTATTTGTTAGAATTACTATTTGTTAGAATTACTA